TTACCCAAAACATTTTTTTTAATCTCTTAAGGGTATCTACCCTATTACCTTGCTACTCAAAGTGTGGTCCTCAGACAAGCAGCTTTGGCTTCTCCCAGGAGCTTACTAAAAATGAGGACTCTGGTTTCACTACAGACCTGATTAATGAGCATCCATATTTCCACACCATCGCTAGATTATTTGAAAAAGACTAGGCTTGAGGAGCACTGTCCTAGAGCCTAGCATGGTGTTTGGACTAGTATGTGCATAATAAATGCTCATTGAGTTGTATAAAGCATGACTCTGTTTCTTTATACAGTGCACAAAAGAACACTGGCTTTCCGTCTAATCACAATTACGATCATCTCATTTTAAAGTCATAATCATAAAGGGGTGCCTGGTTGGCTCAGTCAGTTAAGGGTCTGCCTTCAGCTCAGGTCATGATCTCAGGGTCCTGGGATCAAGCCCCACATGTCAGTTCTCTGCCCCGTGGGAAGTCTGCTTCTCCCTCTTCCCTCTGCCCCTCCCATTGTTCATACTCGCTTTCTTTTTCTCAAATAAATAAAATCTTTAAAAATAAAAAAAAGTAATAGTCTACTTACTGGTTTTACCTTAACTGCTTTGTAGTGTGATTTAGAAAGACACCTTCCTCTGCTTAGGGAAAATAGAGCAGCACTCACTGCTGGACTTGGGAATTTCACATGGATAGGCGGTATGCCAAAAAGCACTAGACCAAATGAAATATTCACTGACATCCCGGACCCTGCCTTCAATCTTTGGAGTTCTTTCTAGCTATAAAGAATGCTTGGCCCGTGTGTTGGGAAGATCTTCCTTTAAATAACATAAATATCTCCATTTCCAATCACTTGCCACAACCCTAATAAAAAGTCTTTCTGTCAGTCCCCTAATTTTACCTAGATGTTTTAAAGTTCTCTTTAGAAGTCATTAATAAAGTATGAATAACTGATAATACTTTATTACAGCATTCCCCAAGTGTGTTTTATTTTTTTTATTTTTTTTTTAAGATTTTATTTATTTATTCATGAGAGACACACACAGAGAGAGAGGCAGAGACACAGGCAGAGGGAGGAGCAGGCTCCATGCAGGGAGTTCGATGCGGGACTCGATCCCGGGTCCCCAGGATCATGTCCTGGGCCAAAGGCAGGTGCCAAACCGCTGAGCTACCCAGGGATCCCCTAGATCTCAGTTTAAACAGCACTTCCTAAGAGGGCTGTTTCCCAAACTCTTAGGCCATGTGATATCCCCCCTCTGCTTGTATAGTCTCACAGCACCTTATACTCTTTTTTTCAGTGTGCTTATCAAAGTTTTTTAACTTTATTGTTTTCTCATTATTTGATAGTATGCCTGATGAGACTGTGAGCTTGAGGAGCATGTAGAACCGTGTCATGTGTTGCCAACACTGTATTCTGTGCTGTACAAGTAATTAACATAACAGATGCTCAGTAATTACTTTTACATTGACATCCTTAATTGTTTCAAATCTTTGTGTTTTTAGTGGGTTTTTAATTCATTTTGTCTCTGTTGATTTTGTAATGTGTCTACTTTGATTGAATTTGTTGAATTTTATAGTGTGATTTTCAGATGATACCGTTTTTTCTTCTATTTCTGAATTATTGGGCCTACTTCATTTTTGCCTATATATAACTTATACTAGTTTATTGATGGAAATATTGCATACAAATTAACTTCTAAGTCACATTTTATTTTTTTAATAAATTAATTTTTATTGGTGTTCAATTTACCAACATACAGAATAACACCCAGTGCTCATCCCGTCAAGTGTCCCCCTCCATGCCCGTCACCCATTCACCCCCACCCCCCGCCCTCCTCCCCTTCCACCACCCCTAGTTCATTTCCCAGAGTTAGAAGTCTTTATGTTCTGTCTCCCTTTCTGATATCTCCCACACATTTCTTCTCCCTTCCCTTATATTCCCTCCCAAGTGTGTTTTAGAAAGTATAAATTCATCAAGATGAGCCATGGAAAGGAACTAAATCAATCAGGGAAATTCTGCCTGTTGCATAACCCTTTGGTGGAATATAGTCAGCAGTACAATGGTAGGTGTTTAAAAATTGGCTCTCAGGAAGAAAAGGCCTGATTTTTGAGGTCTGTAAGTTTCTGTGGTATGTATATTTCCACCACGGCTGATTCCAAACTACCAGCATGACATCACCGAACAAAGAGTTGGTAGTAGATGTGTAGGAGGAGCACAACAATACACAGTATTTCTACCGTACAGATACAGTGGACGTAAATAACCTCAACAGCACAGGTAACAGAAAAGGGTTGTAGGAAATAGGAAGTGGTGAGTTTTGAGTACCTATTGCCTATATTTTTTGTATATTTTATTTGATTGTACTTCTGTAATTCCATTTTTAATGATGACTATGTTTAACAACTGGTTCACACACTGCCTGAACTTTTTGCAATCACCTGTCCAGCATACACAGGAGCTGACCTCAGCTCACCAGTGAAAGAGCTGTCTCACAGCTCAGACATGCATAGACTTGGTTCATGCCACACACAGAAAAGAAAATGTGGCTCCTTCCCAAAGCTAATACCCTAGAGAAAGATTCTACTTGGTCTACCATGGTTAGGTGTCTATTCTGATCCTGCTAGCCTTGTCCCAGCAGGTGGACATAGCTCCAGAAATCTGATTTAGAATGGGGGATAGATTTCTAGAGGAGAATTGTCTTAATGGTAGAGTATATCACTTAAAATGCATTGGTAATGTCCATTTTAGCTATGACTCTACCCTCCAATCAATTTTTAAAATACAATCCTTGTGAGACTTCCCAGGCAAGAAGTGGGGTTTTTTTGTTGTTGTTTTTTGAGCAACTGGGGTTTCAACAGTCAGTAGAAAGAAGCTAGAAGTGGTATAGTCATCTGTGATGGTGAACTTCATACTTTTTTGCTGGCATATTCCTTCAGAAGTTTCAAAAATCCATTATCTCAGAACATTTTTAGGTATATATTTATGAGTGTATCATAAATTTTGACAGTTGCCAAGGATGTAATTTCTGGTGTATTGCACAATATGTGCTATTATTATTTATTTATTATTTTATTTATTAAATAAAAGATCTATTTATTTATTTGAGAGAGAGAGTGCGCACTGAGGGCAGGGGGAAATCTGTTTCTCCCACTTCTTGAACAAAATTACTAAGGAACCCAACTTCCTGACATGATGCAATCTAAATCTGGCCCTGCTTCCCTTAGCTCTCCTTAAAAACCTCCTAGCACAAAGCAAAATAGTCTGAGAAAGACAAATACCATATGATTTCACTCACAAGTGGAATTTAAGAAAAAAGAACATAGGGGGTATTAAAGGAGACAAACCAAGAAACAGACTCTTAACTACGGAGAACAAATTGATGGTTACCAGAGGGGAGGTGGGTGGGGAATGGGCGAAATAGGTGATGAGCACTGTTTTATGGAAGTATTCAATCACTGAATTCTACACCTGAAACTAATATTAGACTGTATGTCAACTAACTGAAATTTAAATAAAAACTTGAAAAGAGAAAAAAAATCTAGCACAAACCCAAATCCTGGGTAACAAGCTCCACTCTGAACTCTGTGCAAAAATCAGTGATTCATAATCAAAAATTATTTTGAGTGGTCGACTGAAAGCTGGAGTTGCTCCCCTATTTTTGTTGAAATCAAGACATTGGAAACAGTCTGATTTCCAGGAGAATTGTTGAGTTCGGAGGTATTTATTCTCTCATCCTGACAACAAAACTTTAGATGCTGCAGGAGTTTTTACACGTGGGTGTATACACTATTGTACATTCAGAATGGACAGAGAATCGTGTCTCTTTGTAAGAAGGGGAGAGAGAGGGGGATCCCTGGGTGGCGCAGCGGTTTGGCGCCTGCCTTTGGCCCAGGGCGCGATCCTGGAGACCCGGGATCAAGTCCCACATCGGGCTCCCGGTGCATGGAGCCTGCTTCTCCCTCTGCCTGTGTCTCTGCGCCTCTCTCTCTCTCTCTCTCTGTGACTGTCATAAAATAAATAAAAATAAAAAAAAAATTTAAAAAGAAGCGGAGAGAGACGACGACATGGGCACTATGTGGATGCAGGGGTTCTGGGGCAGCTGCATATAGAGGGAGGGGAGCCTCGGGAAATTTCTCTCTTAAAACAATCCTTCCTACAAAGCTCTTGGAAAGCCTTCCTGAACTTTAAAGCACGAACTAAAACTTTGTGGAGCATGGAGGCCAAACCCTGCGAGAGAATTTAAAGGGACTCAATGGTTATTTGCTTCAGATGGATGTGGTCAGAGGCGTCCAAGTAAGAATGGGCTTTACCCCCAGTCCCCCATCAAGGCTTCCTCTCTCTCTCAACAGCGTGAATGGATCCAGTCCAAGCTTCCCGCGGGGTCTGCCATCCTTCTTCCTGCCACACATCTTTCTAAACAACACCCCCTTTTCTCTGATACACCCCCCCCCCATGAGCCAAAGCATTCAACCAGGCTCTGTTGAAACCTTGCCCCCTGAGAGCAATCTTTTGATTCTTGCTTACTTCTCTATCATTTATGCGCAGGTTTCACTGTTCAGCTTTCAGAAGCAATCTCCCCAAACACACACACACACACACACACACACACACACACACTATTCTGGTTTGTTTCTTTTAATTCTTGGTTGGAGAGAACTTTACTCTCTTCAACAAAGCAGAAGGCAGCGAACGGGGTTCCAGGCTAGGAGGTAGGCGTAGTGCCTGAATCTTAGATAGAGTTCGCCCAAGGAGAACCGGTGAGTGATGCTCTCCGCGGCGCCCAGCTCCGGACGTAAATAACCTCAACAGCACAGGTAACAGGAACCCCGGACTCCCGGCGGAGCAAACCGCCGGCAGCACAACCAGGCCTGAGAAAGGCCTCGCATCTCCAGGCCGCCGCCCCGGAAACCACGCCACAGACCGGAGCGAAAGGGACAGGGCACGCATGCGCAGGGCGAAGGGGGCGCGCACACGGCGGCGGGAGCGCGCAGGCGGGAGCGCGCGCCGCGTTGGACGCCGCACGCGGGGGCGAAGGCGCGCGTCGGGCTCGGGGCTCGGGGCTCGGGCCTCGGCCATGGCTCACAGGCCGAAGAGGACTTTCCGGCAGCGCCGAGCCCAGTCTAGTGACAGCGACAGCACCGAGGAGCCGTCTGCTGAACCCGGGGCGCCGGGCCTTAGGGAGGAAGGGCCACCCCCGGGAGGTGGCCGTGTGGAAGCGGCGGACCGGCATGTTCGGGGCCGCGGCCCTCGGAGCCGGGGCCGGGGCCGGGTGTGGGCGAGTTCCCGGCGCGCCGCGGGGGCGGCTCCGCGCGCGGAAGGCGGCTCGGGCGTCCCAGGTGAGGCGGGGGAGCGGGGCGGAGGGGCGCCGGAAGTGACGGGGGTGGGGGGAGGGACGAGGCCCGCGGGGTTCTGGGGAGGGTCCTGGAGCGCGCTGCAGACCGCCATGGCCGCCGCTGTGAGCCCGGCTGCCGGCCTTCCGGTACCCACTCGCCCGCTGCCCGCATCTCCGCGTTGGGCGGCGTGAGGGGGGGGCGGGGGACTGGAAAGAACCCTGCGTGGTTTGTGGCTCCTCTGCGTTTGCACCGTCGGGTGAACTCCCACCGGTTGTAGTTGTAAGTGCAGTATTTGCTGTTTGTGAAGAATCTAAATCGTCACAGAAGTCAAAAAAAAATTTTTTTTCCCCTAGTACTTTGAGGTAGGGGAAAGTGTTACGTACTTTTGGAAACATCCTCAATTATTTTTCTAGAAAACACTTTAACCAGAATAGTACATTAGAAGAATTATAGGTAACAGACACTTGGAACGTTTTCTTGTGCTTGTTTTGTTTTTCATCAGTTATTTGCAAGAAGGGAAATAAGAATAACGCTCTAGGGGCACCTGGGTGGCTCGGCGGTTGAGCGTCTGCCTTCGGCTCAGGGCCTGATCCCGGGGTCCTGGGATCGAGTCCCACGTCGGGCTCCCTGCGTGGAGCCTGCGCCTCTCTCTACCTGTGTCTCTGCCTCTGTGTGTCTTTCTTGAATAAATAAATAACATCTTTAAAAAAAATAACATGCTATGTCACTAAGTAGCATAATGGATTGATGACGCTGTAGACTGTATATGGCGTTAAGTACAATGTGGTTTGAAGTACCCTTTCGTTTTTAAATACAGAATTTAAGCAACAAAGTTGACAGTTGTTCCGTTTTGAATTGGAGCTTGATAAAAATGCAGTTTTCAGTTAGTATTGAGGTAGAATTTTTCTCCACCACTGTTTTTAGTACAAGTGATTTTGGTGATTTCTTTAATTACGACCTTGTGTTTGTCTAAAGCTTTGAAGACTTTTTGTATTTTTCTACTCTATGGAAGTCACCTGGTCAAACTTTAATTGGGAGAATTGAGGCCAGGAGTTGCCTTTTTGCTTGCATTTAAAACAGTGGTTCTCAAAACTTTTTGGTCTTAATATCCCCTTTATGAGACTATCCCAAAGAGCTTTTGTTTCTGTAGATTATATCTATTGATATTTACCATGTTAGAGATTAAGATAACTTTTTATTCACTTTTTCTAAATTAAACCATTACCTGTACGGATAGGTAACATTTTTGAGGGGGGACACTCTTCCAGAAAATATATATATATATTTTTTATGATAGTCACAGAGAGAGAGAGAGAGAGGCAGAGACACAGGCAGAGGGAGAAGCAGGCTCCATGCACCGAGAGCCCGACGTGGGACTCAATCCCTGGTCTCCAGGATCGCGCCCTGGGCCAAAGGCAGGCGCTAAACCACTGTGCCACCCAGGGATCCCTCTTCCAGAAAATAGAATGACATTGTTTCAGTTTACAAGTCTTTAATGTCTGGCTTCAACGAATAATACAGCCGACTTCTCAAAGGTGCTTCTGCATTCAATCTGTTGTGATGTTTCATTTGAAATATGAAAAGAAAACCACAGGTTTGTGGTGTAATAGGAATACTTAGGGATCCCTGGGTGGCGCAGCGGTTTGGCCCCTGCCTTTGGCCCAGGGCGCGATCCTGGAGACCCAGGATCGAATCCCACATCGGGCTCCCGGTGCATGGAGCCTGCTTCTCCCTCTGCCTATGTCTCTGCCTCTCTCTCTCTCTCTCTCTGTGTGTGTAACTATCATAAATAAATAAAAATTTTTTAAAAAAGAAATACTTAATAGCCTTTTTAGATGACTGAGGGTGTTCTGTTTTGATATTAAAAAAAATCAACAAAAAATAGTTTCTTGAAGGTCAGTTTGCAACATGGCAGCTGAAATCATACTTGTCAGTTTTTTTATACTCCATTACGTGAAAATCAATTGGTCTCTTTTGCATTTTCAATGAATCTTTTACCCATGCACAATTGGTAAAATCTTGCATTGACTGTTGGAAACTCTTGGTTCACTGGGTTTGCAAATGCTGGTACATTTTATATAACATCCAAAAGAATCTGTTAATGTTACTGTGTTACTTCTCATAATCATCAGTCGTTAAGTGATGGAAAGATATTAAGTTCACTGTGTAGCATATAAGTTTTCCAAAATTCGAGTTTTCACTTGAAATCTCTAATTCTTGAAGTGATAGGCACATCTTTGCCATTTTTGAGAAAATGTGTCAGGTAGACATGTAGGAATAACTAGAGTTTGTCAGTCATTCTTTCAAATAAAACTGTTGCTTCTTGAAGACAGTGGCTAGTTCAACCTGCAACTCATACAGATGCTTTTCAGTGAGGCAACCATTATGTTTCAGTATGCCCCCCAGAGTGCTTAATACACACTTCCATTTTGGTCCATAGACTATTTAAAAGATGTGTCCTCAAAGGTCAAGATTTAATAAATTTTATAACTTTTTGTTGCTCTATTAAGGATGGTAAGTTTACCTGTTTGTTTTCTTGGCAATGCATGGCAATGAAGAATACAATGGCCGCCACTACAGATTGCTGTCACTGTCTTGATTCGTATTAAGAAGCCAGGAGTTTTACCCACCACTGTTTTTGCTTCATTGTATAAATAGAAACAGACTAAAAAGGGCAAATAACACGATAGTACTGTATTTCATACTTTCAATACTTTCATGGTAGTTTTGAACTCACAGACCCTCTGAAAGGGTCCTACAGACTTCCAGGGGTTGATGGACCATGCTCTCGAGAACCACCCCTCTAGTGTTAATCCATTTTGAGAACAGGTAGGAGTTGTTAAATAGTAGCAAAGAAAGATGTAATCAGTAGTTACATTCTTTTGTCTTCTAAGTTTTGATCTTTAGATTTTTTAAATTCTATATAGGTCTGTTAATTAAGGGATATTTTGAAGATAAAAAGTACTATTTATGTAATCTTAAGCTTTAAAGTTGTTCATAAAAAATACAAAATAATTATAAATTAACCAGTCCTTTTTGTCAATAATACTATGATTCTTTCACATTTTATTCAGCCCTCACAATACCCTTATGGGTGTTATCTTTGCTTAATAGATTACTGGACAAGACTGTCCTTCCCAAAATCACTTAGTAGAAACAGAGATCTGTGATTTGACCACAGTGCTAGTTACAGGTACTACTTGCCACTAGTCATTGAAATAGGACATAAAGAGAATCTAAATTCCAGAATTAAATAAAATTAGATTGAAAACCCTGCTTCTGGGATCCCTGGGTGGCGCAGCGGTTTGGCGCCTGCCTTTGGCCCAGGGCATGATCCTGGAGACCCGGGATCGAATCCCACGTCAGGCTCCCAGTGCATGGAGCCTGCTTCTCCCTCTCCCTATGTCTCTACCTCTCCCTCTCTCTCTCTCTCTCTCTCTCTCTCTCTCTCTCTCTCTCTCTATCATAAATAAATTTAAAAAAAAATTATAAAAAAAAAAAAAAGAAAACCCTGCTTCTCCACTGAATAACTTTGTGACACTGGACATGTTATTTAGCCTCTCCAATTCCTAATGTCCCCGTCAATAATAGTACTTACTTTATATAATTGTGAAATTCTGTAATTGTATGACATAGACCTTGTAAAAACAGATTTAAGTGTGCCTAGCGTATAGGAAGTATACATCAGGATTTTTTGTTTTTGAACTTGTTCACTACCATTATTTTTCTTTTTTGTTTTAAATCTTCCTTCACTTTTTGTCATCCATCTTTTTTCTCTGTTTCCTTCCATTATCATTGCATCTTCTAAGAAAATATTTTATTAGATAAGTAGATCATATAAATAGGGTAAATTTATGCATTTATTAGGTCATCCATTGATTTCAGAAAGAAGGGAAATGGAGAAAGATCTGTATATACACCTCACATACATGGAGAAAAATTAAAACACTGTACGTGTATAATGCTATGTGTTGTGTAGAATTTCAACTACTGATTCTACTATCTTTTGACTCTTTCTTGTTATATTCAAAAAATGTCCTGTTAAAATTGGATTATAATGGTTGATCTTTCAACAGATGAAGAGGGTGAAACACATCATTCCTCAGAAAGTAAAGATGATCAGAATTCATCATCCAACAGCTCTAGCTCTCTGGAAGAAGAATTTTCATCAATAGGTTAGTAAATTTTTTAATTTTGATAAACTTTATTTCTAGTATCAGTATCTTCTATACCAGTGATTATTATTTTTGGTAACACAGCTATAGTGAAGTATGGGGCAAGTAAATCATTATCAAAATTGTCAGAGTGCCAAAATCAATTGCTCTTTTCCATTACAAGACATGCCCAAAGTCAGACAGCTTGTAAGAGGCAGAGCTAGAATTCAAACCCAGGCAATCTGCTCTAGAACCTGTGTTCTTAACCACTGTGCTACACTGGGTGATTGATGCCAATATCTGAAGGATGGTAAGAATTTGTTAGTGAAGATGTTTTGGATACAGGATATAGCAAATGTAAAAAACTCTAAGGGAGATAACATAGCATGTGCAGAGAACTAAAAACAGATGTTAAAATGAAAAGATTTGGTTGGAGTTTAAGAAACAGGAATAACAACAATAAAAAGCAGACAAATTGGAGTCAGATAATACAGAGTTTGGGAGAACTACTGAAAATTTTATGCAAATAAATGGCATGACCATTTTTGTATTTTAGAAAGATCAGTTCAGGCAAATTCAGGCAAATTGCCACTTGTGAGCCAAATATGACCCATCACTTGCTTTTGCAAGTAAATCCTTATTAAAAGACAGCCACTCTCATTAGTTACATGTTGTCTGTGGCTGCTTTTGCACTACAGTGACAGTTTAGAAATTGTAACATTATGGCTCACAAAGCTGAAAATATTTCTCTGGCCTATTATTCAGTCTCAGGGATCTAGAACTTGTGCTGTGGACCCTTGACAGTCTTACTAAGTTTGAGCCCCCTTCTGAGAAAATAAAAATATGTAGCTTTATAAAAGAAACAAATTAACTTGAAACAAAAGAAACAATTTAAATACATTTTAAAAACATATCATGTGTTTTATTAACTTATTAAAAACAAGAGGGATCCCTGGGTGGCGCAGGGGTTTGGCGCCTGCCTTTGGCCCAGGGCGCGATCCTGGAGACCCGGGATCGAATCCCACGTCGGGCTCCCGGTGCATGGAGCCTGCTTCTCCCTCTGCCTGTGTCTCTGCCTCTCTCTCTCTCTCACTGTGTGCCTATCATAAATAAATAAAAAATCCAAAAAAAAAAAAAAAAAAACAACCAGTAACTCTTGTAATTTTTTTTTTTCTTACACAACTTCACAAGTTACAGAAGTAGAAGTACTTAGTGATGAAACCAGTATTAAGAATTGATGCCTCGGGGCAGCCTGGGTGGCTCAGCGGTTTTGCGCCACCTTCAGCCCAGGGCCTGATCCTGGAGACCCGGGATCAAGTCCCACATCGGGCTCCCTGCATGGAGCCTGCTTCTCCCTCTGCCTGTGTCTCTGCCTCTCTCTCTCTGTCCCTCATGAATAAATAAAATCTTAAAAAAAAAAAAAAAAAGAATTGAAGCTTCATAGATAAATGATGCTTTGTCTAGACTCTACATACGGTGCTGTCCATTAGAATTTTCTATGATGAGGGGATTCCTGGGTGGCTCAGTGGTTTAATGCCTGCCTTTGGCCCAGGGCGCAATCCTGGAGTCCCGGGATCGAGTCCCACGTCGGGCTCCCGGCATGGAGCCTGCTTCTCCCTCCTCCTGTATCTCTGTCTCTCTCTCTCTCTCTATGTCTATCATAAATAAGTAAATAAATAAATCTTTAAAAAAAAAAAAAAAGAATTTTCTGTGATGATAATAAAATTTTTATATTTTCATTGTTTGGTATATTAGCCACTAGCCACATGTGTCTATAAAGCTCTTGAAATGTGGCTGATGCAACTAAGGAACTGGATTTTGAATTTTTAAATGGTCTCTTATGGCCAGTGTGTACTGTATCGTACAATGCTGCTATAGAAACTGATGGATTAGAAAGTGTAAGCCAGTAGTTGTAAAGTGTTGGCAGGATTGCACATGCAAGGAGAGAGGACAGTGTTTACAGATGTATGGGATAGTTTTGTTTTTTTTTTTAATTGGAGTTCAATTTGCCCACATATAGCATAACACCCAGTGCTCATCTATGGGGTAGTTTTTAATTATCATGTGACAGAGGTGTTACTGGCATGTAGTGCTCTGGAGGCAAGAAATGATAATGTCTCACAGCATACAGGACAGTTCACAGTGAAGAATTATCCCTCCTCAAAAGCTCATTTTAGAAACACTGAAAGTTGAAAATTTTTTCCTGTGAAAAACTTTTTTTCTTCTGGAGAAGAAAAGATGAAGGAATGCGAGAAGTCTGTGGATTGGTTTGTGGACCCAGGAATGCAGTTATTTTTTGTTCAAACAGTGGAACTATTAGACTGATCCAATAGTGGAAAATATCTTTCTTGAGATGTTGCAGATACTGCATGTTACACATGGGGCATGATATTAACCTGTTCCTTAAATAAGATGATGTATATGGAAATTATTTAACTTATAAATCTGCATGTTTTTATTGTAAAGCAATATGCTAACTTTATTCATTCCACATGTGGCGAGCATCAGCTTTGGGCTAGGTGTTGGGTATAGACAGGACAGGATAATAACTCTTCTCTTGAACTTTTCCTTCTTTATTGTAGCTTGAGAGAGGATTAGTTTTATTTAGTATTAGTATTTTACTAGTGAGTCCATTGCCTATGATTCATTAAGCCCCACCAAGTCATTTGCAGATGAATCACTTCCAGTATTTCTGCTTTTGTATTCATACACTTGAGTATTTGAACCTAAGTGTATCATCTTAACCCTGGTTTTACATTAAAATTTTCTAGAGGGCTATTAAAACATAGTGCTGCTCAGCCCCACCTCAGATCAACTGAATCTGGATCTCTGGGATGGGGAGCTTGGGTACCAGTAGATTATCAAGCTTCCTAAGTGACTCTAATGTGTAATGAGGAGTCAAGAAATGCTCATGTAACCTGTTGTGAAAGTTTGAGTCTTGAGTCTAGGTTATATTTAGCTGTTCCTCCCAGCTTTAAAGACATGTCTTTTTATCTTAGTCCACATCACATTAAGATCATTAAACCAGGAACACAAACTATGGAGCCCTCTAGCAGATCCCTGCAGTGCTTCATAATCAACATATTTGGGGGGGGGGTAATTATTCAACCAGTTAAAAATCAAGTGCACTATGTGATTTTCCCCACACATATTAATGTAATTCACAATGAAAACATGCAACTGTTAAATGCTTTGGGAAAATGAAGAAACACCTGATCTGCATCATTTCCCTGATACTAATCTATAAATTAGTACTAGTCCATAAAAAGTAAATCACTTGATTCAATATTCCTTGTTCCTTTTTTTTTTTTTTTTAAGATTTCATTTCTTTATTTGAGAGAGAGCACACACACTGGTATGGCGAAAGGGAGAGGGAAAAGAAGAGAATCTCAAGTAGACTCCGCACTGAGCACAGAGCCCCATGCAGGCTCAATCCCAGAACCCTGAGATCATGACCTGAGCCAAAAACAAGAGTTGGACATTTAGCCATTTGAGCCACCAAGGCGTCCCTGATATTCCTTATTCTTAGTGAACATATGTTGATTTTTAGTCATCACCTGTTACTGTTTCATAATTTAAGAACTTGTTTTCCTTAGCACCAATGTCAAGCATATTGGTCAGTAATTTCTGTATTCTCTTTTTCCAAAAGTTGGAACATTTCCACATCTCCAAGCATAGGACATCTTTTTTTTTTGTTTTGTTTATTTTTCAAAGAATTTGGAACAGTTTGTGGTAAAGTTTAGAACATTTTACTTGAGCCTTGGTCATTTGACATCCCTAATTAACATTGTGAAGTGCTTGAAATAGTGAAAATTTCCTTTACCATTTTGTTTACCTTAGTATTTTGCTTAAATACTAGAAAGTTTTTCCAGAAAGTAAAGATAAATTTCAGCTTAGATCATACATGAAGAAACTTGTTTTGAATTGGAATAATGCACATTAATGTTGTTTATATGCTATAAAATAAAACCTAGAAGCACCTGGGTGACTCAGTTGGTTAAGCTGCCTTTGGCTTAGGTCATGATCTCAGAGTTCTGGGATCGAGGCCAGTATCAAACTCCCTTCTCAGCAGAGAACCTGCTGCTCCCCCTGCATTTGTGTGCGTGCATGCTCTGTCAAATAAATAAAATCTTAAAAAAATAAAAAATAAAAAAAATAAAACATGGGTCTATTAAAAGATATCATTTAAAAAAAATCATTTAAATATTTTTCACCTGATAAATGAATCTGATTATTTTCTTTATACTTTTTAACTTCTCATTTATTCATGTGGAAATCACCACAGGATCTTGATTTAGTTGTGTGCTGGTTTTAGTCTCTTTCTCACTTCCTGTATGCCTGGATACCACAAGGAGAGGGGAAGGGCATAATACAGCATTCTTTGTGCTTCAGATTGGCCTGTACCCCATCATTCGAACCTCTACAGGTCTCACAGACTAAGCAATTCTGTGTTCAGCTCTCTCCCCCTTCCCAACCCTCATAATCTGAGAGCTTCTAGAAATGAGAAATAGTCTTCAGCAAAAAGTCAGCAACAACATCTGATGAATAAGAGAGCTAGAAGATACATTGAAGTGGTATCGTTATATTTTCTGATACTTCTAGATTAGGTTCATTTTCTAATTTACATTAAATCTCTATAAAAGTAATCTTATTGATGTAGGTTTTGAGTTCTACAGTTACATTAATACCAGAATTGGAAAAAATTGAAAAGACACTGCCTTTTTATTTTCTTTAAATACGAGGAATATGTATTTCTGTTGGTGTTTGTTTTTCATTGTCTTCCTCTTTGTTTCTTTTAGTAAATATCCCTGATTCAGCTTTTATTCAGGAAGCTCGCAGAAAACGTGAATTGGCCAGGGCCCAAAATGACTTTATCTCTTTGGATGTAAAACATACCTCTACCATTGCTGAGATGAAGAAAAATAGTAATGAAGATCCTGAGAGTGAGCCTGATGACCATGAAAGGAGAATACCATTTACCCTAAAGCCTCAAACCCTTAGACAAAGAATGGCTGAAGAAACAAGTACATACTTAATTTATTTACAATATATAAACATTGAGGGATTTTTCACCCAAATATAATATTATGTTAAAATTTTCCATAAAAACATAATGTATCTCATACTTTAAAAGATGTTAGAAGTTGGTTTAAAAAAAAAAAAAAAGAAGTTGGTTTTTATTTAATACAAATTTGGTAAATGACATCATAGTCTCTAAAAGATCTATTAAGATGTTATTACCATATAATGTGTAATAACATTATTATCTGACCTTGATCTTTTTTGGTAGGTTAAAAAAATTGTACAGTGTCTTATTTTTGATATTGAAAACTTTAATTGTCACCTTTATAAAGATTTTTTTTTAACATGGAAGCATCTATAGGGATTTTAGATGTTATTTATTAAGCTCTCCCCTGCTCTGATGAAAAATTTCCTCTACCAATAATCCTTAGGTCTAATAGGACGATTTTCACATTTGTTATTTATAAACAATTACATGTTTTATCAAAATTTTTATCATTTTGAATATTTTTTCAGAATGAGACTTTTGGCTTCTTCATAACCCAGAAATTAATTTTCAATATTTAGATTCTAGGATAGAATTTATAATTCCTAATAAGGATTATCAAATGTTTCATTTTTTTTCTAAGTTTTTTCCCCCCATATATGAAACTGCAGTGTTTTCATTGGGACAGTTTGTTGATGAGTACAGGTTCTCAGATTCAAGTCCCAGCTTCAGCACATTTTCCAGACAAGTTATTTAATCTCTTGATAGGAGTTTCCTCATTAAAAGAAAGAAAAGGCTGTTAGTAGTGCTTTCTTCCCAGAATTACTGTGAAGAATAAGTTAACACATATAAAGCTGCTAAGCCAGTGCATTGTAAGCCCTTCAAAAATGTTAGCTGATGCTATTAGAATGGAAAAATACAGACTACTCATGAATTTTTTTTTCCTAGCACCCAGAAATGAAGAAACAAGTGAAGAAAGTCAGGAAGATGAAAATCAAGATATTTGGGAACAGCAGCAAATGAGGAAAGCAGTTAAAATTACAGAGGTAGTAATTTTTTATACCATATATATTAATTTTTTGTGGCTGCTATAACAAATCATCACAAACTTGGTGGCTTAAAACAAGAGACATTTATTCTCTTACAGTTGTAGAGGCTAGAAGTTTGAAAGCAAGGTGTTAGCAGGGTTGTGCTCCCTCTGAAGGCCCTAGGGGAGAATCCTTTCTTGCCTTCCAACTGTCACTCCAGGTGTTCCTTGCTTTGTGACTATATAACCCCTGTCTCTATCTCCCTCTTTATATGGCCACCTTTCCTGTACCTCTATTCTATTTTATAAGAATATTAAGAATATTTGTCATTGGATTTAGGGCCCACTTGGATAATCCAGGATACTCTCATCTTTAGATATTCCACTTAATTACGACCAGAAGGACCCTTTTTCCAAATAAGGTCATATTCACAGATTCTGGGGTTTAGGACATAGACTTGTTTTTTGTGAGGCTACCATTCAACTTATTATACCTTATATATTATGTTCTCTTCCTACTAAATTATAAATATCTTCTACATATTATAGGCCACTTGAGGAGACTATATTTTTTTAATTTTATAGTAATTGTAACATACGTTAGGTATATAAATGTGAAGTGTTTAAACAAATAAATAGATTTAAAACAAAACTAATAAAAATAATACTGTTGTTGAGGTCAGGAGTCCTAGATTTGGGTTCTGGCTGTACCACTAAAATATATGCTCCATGAGGTCAAGAATTATTATTAACTGTTCAGTGTTTTATCCCTCTGTGCCTAATATTATGAGTGCTCAATAAATACTTGTGCAACTTTGCACAAATTATTTAGCCCTTTTTTTAAAAGATTTATTTATTTATTTTAGCAAGCACACATGCCCAAGTGGGGGGGTGCAGAGTTGGAAAGGGAGAGGGAGAGAATCTCAAGCAGATTCCACATTTAGCATGGAGCCCAACATGGGACTTGATCTCACAACTCAGATCACTACCTGAGATAAAACCAAGAGTCGGATGTTGAAACAACTGTGCTACCCAGGCACAACAAATTATTTAATTTTCTAAACTTTTCTCATCAATAAAATGGGAAGACAATGTTACCTACATGAGTAGGTGGCTATAAAGTTCAAAATCATAATTTAAATCAAAGCACTTATATAATAGTATACAAATATAAATGTTTCATATTTTAATTTGTTTAACAAGAATGCTTTGAAAGATTATTTGCTCTTTTAAGTAAGAAGGTATTAAGATTTCCATGTTATTAAAAGTAAAATGTTAAGTGAAGGTAAGCCTTTGGTTGTAACAACATTTAGAAATTTCTGACCAGAGCAATGATATAGAGGGCCATTTTTATCACGTAAAAATAATAGACTTGGTACCCCCTCCCCTCTTCAGTAAAATCAGTATAGCAAAACAACATGAAACAAAATACTTTGAGAAAAAACTGCCACAGTCTTTACTCTGACTGCTCAAGTTTGCATAATTCCTTTTTTAAATATTTAATTGTAGTCATAGTATATATATATATCAGAAGTTCCCAGACTTCCCATTCGTGGAGCCCTCAGTATCAGTAACTTTATCCTGGTGCTTCCCCAGGCCAAAAGAAGTACCAAACAATTCCATTTATTAAGTAGTTCGAGTCAAAGAATTTAATAATATTTATGTCCTGATAACTTAGTATCTTTTGGAAAAAACATAGATAAGTTGAAGAAAAATGTCTTTTAATTTCATTTTTTAATAACCACAATTATTTAGTAATGGGGATGCACCTCTTGGGCACTGCATGACGTCTCAGACCTTGGAATCAAATTGTTCACTGTCATTCTCACCTCCTTTCCAAATTGATTTTCAATCACTACTTCCTTTTTATCATATCCACCAAGAACCCACCTTCACTAATAAGACTGCACCAGAGGACTCTAGGACGATCTAATGTTGCAACTGTGAACAAATCAAAACTAGTAGTCCAACAAATGATGAATATGTATTTCCCTAAAATATTTATATTTAAAATATTTCATAGCATCCCTTTGAGTTCATTGGGATTCCTTAGCCTGTAGTTTCAGAACCACAGTATGCATACAATTTCAAATTCTGGTTTTTTTTTTTTTTTTTGCTTGACATGTTATAAATATTCTCCCCTATTTCTATTACATAGTTTTAATAGTAACTAATTTTTTAAACTGTATAATATTTATTAGAGTCAGTGAATCATAATTTCTTAGCCATTCTTCCTGTTTGCAAACATTTTAGGTTATTATTTGATTATTTGATTCAGATTGTTATTTGATTCAGATTATATAATCTGAATTTTTTTTCCATTATTAATAAGAATAGATGGGGTGCCTGGCTGGCTCAGTCGGAGCATCTGACTCCTGATCTCAAGATTGTGAGTTTGAGCCCCTTGTTGGGTGTAGAGATTACTTAAATAAAACGTTAAAATAAATAATAAGAATTGGTAAATATTTGCTTGCCCTTTTTCCTTCCTTTTTTTCTCTCTTGTTCAGATGTATGTTGAAGGATACTTAGGGTAATGGCCAAGAGTGGTATTACAAATAAAAGACATGAACATTTCTATGGCATTACTGCATTTTTCCATATTGCTTTCTAAAGAAAATTTAGATCAATCTGTAATACCACTGATATTATGGGAATATTTCATTGCAGTCTTGCCAGGTTAGGTGCAGGATTAGTTGCACCTAAGAAATGGAATCTCAGACTATTTGATTTGCATTTTTTATTATTAACTGTGGGTGCATTTACTGGTTTCTTTGTTGAAAATCTACCACATGCCACTGTATTCGTTTCCTATGACTATTGTAACAACCAAAAACATTGTGGTTTAAAACACAGAACTTTATTTTCTCACACTTCAAAAGGTCAGAAACCCAAAATCCAGGTGTTAATAGAGCTATACTCCTTCCAAAAGCTCTAGAGGATAATCTATTCCTTGACTGTTCTAGCTTGTGGTAGCTGTTGGCACATAGCTACCCCTCTCTCTGCTCCATCTCTCTGCTTCATCTTTTTGCGCCCCAAAACTCCCTCTCCTTCTCTTATGAGGATATGTGTACTGTATTTGGGACTCATCTGGATAATCCAGGGTAAGCCCCTTCTCCAAATCCTTAATCACATCTTTTGCCATGTAAGGTAAAATTCACAGGTTTGGGAGGTAAGGACATAAACTTATCATTTTGGGATCACCATTCTGCCACTATGCCACTTAACAATAATAGACCCTACTATGTACAATCTTTATAGGGGAGAGACAGCCAAACAAAATAATTGTAGTGAAATCTTAGAGGTTCTTTGACAGAACCTTGTACAGCATCCTGAGATGGCACATAGAAGTAAGTGGTAGGTTTTATAGGTGAATAGGGAGATTTGGTAAAGCCTCTGCAGAAGTCAGTCCTATTTGGATGGGTCTTAGAAAGATGTGTATAATGTAAGGGATTTGAGAGCAGATATCTGGATGTAAAGACATAAGATTTGAAACAGCCTGGCTGGTTTAAAGATTTGCAGGTGTGATTAGAGATGAATGGGAGAATTGGTTAAGAATTAATATGAAAAGGGCACCTGGGTGGCTCAGTGGTTGAGCATCTGCCTTTGGCTCAGGTCATGAACCCAGGGTCCTGGGATCGAGTCCCACATCAGGCTCCCCAAGAGGAGCCTGCTTCTCCCTCTGCCTATGTCTCTGTCTCTCTGTGCCTCTCATGAATAAATAAATAAATAAACTATTTTTAAAAATAAAGAATTAATATGAGAAATGATGATGCCTTATGGAAAATATAAGAAGGATAGTTAAGCCACTGATTTGGCTAATTATCTGGTCCACTTCTTTGCATGTCTGTGTCTAAAACATATTCTTCAGAACTCTTTCAGCATTCTAAGGTGGTAGTGATAAACTACGATTAGCCAGAGGACAATAATATGAAATGTTGTAAGATGTACTAACTAGAATATGGTCCTTGACTAGTAATAGAAAACCCATATAATAGTAGCTTAAACAGAACTAAAAGCTTTACCTATACACCCTTCAGAAGACTTTCATTTACTTTTCTTTGACTAGACTAGAGTTAGGTGGATACTTCTATGATGGAGAACATAATTTTCTGAGAGTACATTAGATCATAAAAAAAGTAGCTTTAAAAACACTGAGAAGCAAGCTTTTGTGAAAAGATTTCGTAATTTGCCTCTTGCATGTAATTTTAAAATTATATATTTCGTTTTTTGTTTTGTTTTTATTTTTGAGAGAGAGTAAGGGAGAAGGTGTGGAAAGGGAGAGAGTCTTAAGCAGATACCACCCTGAGTCTGAAGCAAGGCTCAATGTCATGACCTGTGCCAAAAATCAAGTCAGATGCTGAACCAACTGAGCCAACCAGGCACCCCTAAAGTTCTGTATCTTAAAACCGAAAATTATAAAAACATTTTATTGTAACTATTAAAAACATCAAAGGCATGGAATTTAGATCTGGTGAGAAATTGAAATACCCAGTCTGCTTTTGTGCTATTAATATTTATAAGATTAATGAGTCTTTTAAAACAATACAAATTTTCATATTTTTAGGGACGAGACCTAGATCTTTCCTACAGCAGTAAACCTCAAACACTAAAGAAGTTTGATACTTCAATTTCATTTCCACCAGTAAATTTAGAAATTATAAAGAAGCAATTAAATACCAGGTAAGTAACACTGATTTTAAAATACATTTGTCCTAAACATTTAATAGTGAAAAAAGCACTGTTCTTAATTCAGTACAAATATTAATATTAAACAGATTTGTAGGGAAAGAAATATCATCACCTGTGTTACCACAGTAACACAACTAACTTTCTTTTCTGTATGTCTTTTTAGTCTTTATAATAGATACATGCTCCATGGTTAAAATCTGTAAATAATCAAATTTTGCTTTTTTTTCTTGATATTTTTATAAGCCTTTATCTGCATTGTTAGATAGCCTTAATTTTTCAAAGTAGTAAGTTGGGAGTGATGGCAGTAAGATGCCATAGTCGGAAACCTCAGACCTCATTTCCCTTTAGAGACACTAATTTAATATACAGTCCAAAAAACCTTCCAGAAACCAGTTAGAAAGTTACACTGTGCCAGGCAAACTCAAAGCCAAGGATATCCACCTGTAATGAGTAAGAAAAGCCATTTCATTTCAACTGCATCAACCACTCTTACAAGCCCACACTACTTGTGAGACTGAAAGAGCTCAACTCACATCTTCTCCATTGAGAGGGAAAAAAAGAAAATTAGAACATACCTCCAGTGTTTTGGCTTTTGGAGGGACTGCCTGAGGGACTGTTTGCTTCATCTGTCTCAGAGCTATAATAGGGAACTGTCATACCTTAGATGACTTGGGGCCCCAGAGAGCAAAAGACCGCTCAGTTGTGGCAGAGCCAGAAAGCCTACCATACTGCAGACAAACACCAGAGGGAGCAAGAGACAATGAATGCCTAAAGAAGAATCCCATGACTTCTCTAATAGGGAAATTTAATATAGAAGCCCATAAAAGATTTGAAGAGACTCCCCCTGTTCCTCAGATCTCTAGCCAGGCTGATGGGTGATGTCCCTCCCCTCTATGAAACTATTTCCCTTAAGTACATTTTCAAATGCATAAGACAACAACAGAAAATACCAAGAGACATAAAGAAACAGGAAAACCTGGTCCAACCAAAGGAGCAAAATAAATCTCCACCATTTCTAAAGAAACAGATCTGTGAATTACTTGACAAACAATTCAGAATAATCTACTTATAGAAGCTGAAAGTGCTATAAGAGAACACACGCAACTAAACAAAGTCAGGGAAACAATACATGAACAAAGTGGAAATATCAGCAAAGAAAAACTGTGGAAAAGAACCAGAGATTCTGGAGCTAAACAATATACACTAAATTGTAATAAATATATACTATATAGTAATAACACAATAAGCAACTGAAAACTTTAGTAGAGAGGATTAGCAACCTGTTTGATGAAACAGAAGAAAGAAGCAATGACCTCAAAGATGGTCATTTGAAATTATCAAAGAAAATGAAGAAAAGTGAAGGCTTAAGGGGCCTGACATACTGTATATGTCAAGCAGAATAACATATACATTATGGAATTCCAAGTAGGAGAAGAGAGAGTGGGGCAGGGAATTATCTGAAGATAAGTTCAAAAACTTACCAATTTGAGGAAGAAAATAGACATGCAATTTTAAGCTCAAAAAGATTATAAGAAGGATGCACCCAGGGAAGCTCACACTGAGACACATAATCAAACTTCCAAAAGACAAAAAGAGAATGCTGAAAGCAAAAAGACAAAAGCACCTTATCAGATACTAGGGAACCCCATAAGATTATTAGTAGATTTCTCTGTAGAAATATTATAGGCCAGAAGGAGTAGGATGATGTATAAAAAGTGCTGAAAGAAACTCCCAGCCAAGACTATTATAATCAATATAATTGTCCTTTAAAAATCCAAGGCGAAATAAAGACCTCAGACAAAGCTGAGGGTGTTCATTATCATTAGACCTGCCTTACAAAAATTGCTATTAAAAGTCCTTGATAAAGGACTGAAAATGGTTGAAATGAAAGAAAGCCAGCCAGTCACATGAACCATATGAAAATACAAGGCTGGCTGGCACATCAATAGAGCATTCAGCTCTTGATCTGTGGGTTGTGATTTCAAGCCCCACATTGGGTGTAGACTTTACTTAAAAGTAATAAACTAAATTTCTGACACAGCCTTGGTGTGTGTGTGTGTGTGTGTATATAAAGCTATGGTAAACATAAATATATAAACAAATAGCTATTCATGTACTATTGTAAGATTGATGTGAAAATCACTTTTAGTTTAGGTATAGAATTTAAAAGATAAACAAAAACTGACACTGTTATTGAATACAAAATTTTAAGATGTGATGTGATCAATAACAAGTGGAGGAAATATGAAGGAATAAGTAGAATTTTTTTGTATATAATTGAAGTTATCAGCATAAAATAGATTATTAGAACTATGTTTTTTGTGATTCCCATGATAAACACACAAAACTTATAGAAGCACAGAAGAAAATGAGAAAAGACTAAGGGCATGTGTCTACAAAAAAAATTAACAAAATACAGTAGCAAGAGAAGAAAAGGCAGAAAATACAAGACAGAAAATTTACAAAATGGCAATAACAAGATATTCTTGTATTAGTATCACCTTAAATACAAAAAGATTAAACTGTTATTAAATGACATAGAGTGGGTAAAAAAATAAGATCCAGATATAGGCTGTCACAAGAGACTCATTTAGATTTAAGAATACATATAGACTGAAAGTGAAAGAATTGAAAATAGTAAACTAAAGAGCAGTAGTGGCATAATTAAGAACTGTTATAAGGGGGACGCCTGGGTGGCTCAGTGGTTGAGCTTCTGTCTTCAGCTCAGCGCATGATCCCTGAATCTGGGATTGAGTCCCACATTGGGCTCCCTGCGAGGAGGAGCCTGCTTCTCCCTCTGTCTCTGCCTCTCTCTCTCTGTCTCTCTCATGAATAAATAAATAAATCTTTAAAAAAAAAAACTATTATAAGTGACAGAATGACATTATGGCTTATATAAAGAGATCAATTTATCAGAAATTCTAACAGTAAACCATTATATATGCATCTGATATTACAGCATCTATATAAAGCAAGTATTGACAGCTGAAGAGAGAAATAGCAGTATTATAATGAATAGTATGAGTCTTCAGTATCCTACTATCTGTAATGGATGGAACATCATCAGATGGAAAATCAATGAGGAAACAGTGATCTTGAACAAAACAGACCTAACCAGAATATTCCACCCAACAGGAGCAGAAGGTACATTCTTTTCAAGCACATGTGGAATATTCTTCAGGATAGATCAAATGTGAAATAACAGAAAAGCCTTAACAAATTTCAGACTGAAGTAATACCAAGTATCTTTTCCAAACACAGTGGAATGATGATGTTCATAGAGAACATTTCTGTTGCCTTTTTTTTTTAATACTTGGGAATTTATTTTCTAATATATGGTAACAGGTTCCAAATTTTCTTCCTCTGTATCTTTTGTGTAAATCAGCTTTAAAGTAGCTTCATTCCATAATCATATTGCAGCTAAGATATATTGGTTGTAGTGGTTCATTTAAATGGTTTGACATAGAAAAGGACATTATATAGCATTGTGAGGTACTTTATAGCATATCATATAGTGGAGTAAATATAAAAATTTTTAGATGTACCAGTTTTAGATATTAGGCTATCTATACTTAGGGACTTAGAAAACTACCAGCCTACTGCCTGTTTTTGTAAATAAAGTTTTATTGTCACACAGCCATACTTGTGCATTTATGTATTGTCTGTGTGTGCTTTAGTGCTACACCACACAATTGAGTTCATAGCAATAGGAACTGTTAACTCCAAACCCTAAAATACTATCTGGATCTTTACAGGAAAAACTTGCCACGCTGTGTTCCAAATCATTGTTTTTCAGTATTGATGTTAAATGATGAAGATTGCCTTGATTCAAGACTATTTTTGTAGTAACCTCACTATTATTTACTATCTTTCTGAAAGTCCTTAATTGGAAGAAAAGAGCTAGAATTACAGCGATTGCATCTAAAATTGCATATAACGTGGGACTTGGGGTTTTTTGTTTTTTGGCCTTTTTTGAAATTTTGAGACCGTTGTCTTACATTAATTATAGAATAGGAAAAAGGTAGCAGGCCACTGTTAGAGATTAGCATTTCACTTTATCTGGATAGATTTTATATTTAACTTTAGTGTATTTTTAAAAAATATTTACTTGAGAGAGAATGCACAAGAGCAGGGAACAGGGCAGAGGGAGGAGAGAGAAAATCCCAAGCAGACTCTGCTGAGCATGGAACCCAACACAAGGGTCGATCCCATAACCCTGAGATGAAGACCTGAGCCAAAATCAAGTCAGATGCCCAACCGAGCTGCCCCTATTTAATTTTTTTTTTATTAACTGGGTTTTTTATTCTAAAAAGAAATTACGTTTTCATGGTCTAAAGACTAAAGCTAAAAGTCACACACTATAGGGGGATCCCTGGGTGGCTCAGCAGTTTAGCACCTGCCTTCGGCCCAGGGCGTGATCTGGCATGATCGTGGGGTCCCGGGATCGAGTCCCGCATCAGGCTCCGTGCATGGAGCCTGCCCCGCCCCCTCTCTGTCTCTCAAAACATTTATAAATAAATAAAATCTTTAAAAATAAATAAAATTACCCTCTAATTAGCTCAAGCACCTAAAAACTTCTAAGTGTCCTTTCCTACCTTTTCCCCTAAGACCTTTCTCATTGTGGTACTCTCTTGTGTGCAGCAAGTCTCATAAACCCAGGTTTATGTGATTGTCCATTTCCTTGGTGGTGTCTGTAAGGTAGCTTTGAAAAAAAATTTCATCAGACTGCTACTTACTGTAGTAGAAATAAAGGTTGGAAAAACAAAGCAGTTTTCATTTTTCTTTGTTTTACTTAGATTAACATTGCTACAGGATACTCACCGCTCACACCTGAGGGAATATGAAAAATACATACAAGATGTCGAGAGCTCAAAGAGTACCATCCAGAACCTAGAGAATTCATCATCTCAAGCTCAAAATTTTAAATTCTATAAAAGCATGAAAGTTTATGTGGAAAATTTAATTGACTGTCTTAATGAAAAGGTAACATGGTTATAAATATATTTCCTTTTTAAAAGAAATCCCCTTACCATAAGATATATAAGTAAATCTCACAACTAAATACTTTCCTCTACTGTTTTCTTACACATTTTTGACATACTGTGACATTAAGGATCCCCTTTATGTTGGGCAGTTAGGGGTTTTTTGCAATTATTTTGGTATTACAAAGTTTTGTATATTAAATTGTGTTAAAATTCCATCTGTTTAAGAAAAATTCCTAAAAGGAATTAGGAAATCAAAGTGTTTAAATGTCTTTGAGGCTTGTGAAACATTGTTTAATTATTCACCAGAAAGATTATATTAGTTTTATTTTTAGCTTATTTCGTTTAAAAAATGGGTGGTTTTTACATACTTATTTGGTGGGTTTTTTTCATTTTATTTTTTTCCATTTTTTTTTTTTACTGAAATTCAATGAATTAACGTATGTTATTAGTTTCAAAGATAGAGGTCAGTGATTTATCAGTCTTATATAACACCCAGTGCTTATTATATCACGTGCCCTCCTTTAATGCCATCCCAGTTACCCCATCCCTCCACCCATTTCCCTGCCCCCAGCAACACTCAGTTTTCTATGATTAAGAGACTCTTACAGTTTCATCTTATATATCTCAAAACAGTCCTTTTTTTTTTTTAGTCCTTTGTTTTATTAACACATGTCAGTCTTGTTTCTTGCAAATTATTTGTCTCTTTATCCTTTTAGTTCATAGTGTTTTTCCTCTTTTTTCCTTCTATGGTGAAAATTCCTTACTACTTAAAATTTTTAATGTTTTATCCTACTTCATGTAGATAAACTTAGAGTTTGTCTTTTGATTTCACTTTTTTTTTGATATCCTGATGTTTTGAAATTTTTGTATTAATCAGTGAATCATTCCTTTTTATAATTTCTGGTTTTGTTTTGTACATACTAAGCCCTTACATTGGGGTCTTGAGTTGATCTTTTTTTTTTTTTTTTAAGTAGATGAGTCATTTAAAAAATACATTCAACTTTCTTCACTGCTTTCATTTACATTTAAAATGTTATCAAACAATTGGATTTTTTTTTCTCTCGTTTTAAGTTGTCTACCTTTTACTGTCCCTTGGTAGTTGCTTTCTGAAGTATTTATTGCAATACAGCTTTCTTCATTGATCCTTGAAGAATTACACTGTTAAAGTCTCTCACCCTACACATTGATATATCCATGGTAGCTACTATGGAACATCATTGAAGTGAGGGGGTTGTTGCCCAAGAAATATAAGAATGCTGATTTTATTTTATTTTATTTTTTTAAGATTTTATGTATTCATGAGAGACAGAGAGAGGCAGAAACATAGGCAGAGAGAGAAGCAGCTCCCTTTAGGGAGCCTGATATGGAACTCAGTCCCAGGACCCCCGGGATCATGATCTGAGCCCAAGGCAGGTGCTCAACCACTATACCACCTAGGCGCCCCAAGATTTTATTTTTATTTTATTTATTTTTTTAAAGATTTTATTTATTCATAGAGACACACAGAGAGAGAGAGAGAGAGAGGCAGAGACACAGGCAGAGAGAGAAGCAGGCTCCATGCAGGGAGCCTGACGTGAGACTCAATCCCTGGTCTCCAGGATCACACCCCAGGCTGCAGGCGGCACTAAACTGCTGCGCCACGGGGCCTGCCCAAGAATGTTGATTTTAAATAATCAGTTATTTCTGCTTCACAGGTTTTTTTTACTTGTCTGGTTAGGTCTCTTCCATTCTCTGTTTTTTTTTAATTTATCAGTTTTCTCAAGTGCCCTCTTACAGTCTCCCCCCCTCAGCTTATGAAAAAGAGCTGAACTCATTTTCTCTTGCTCCTTGTATCTCAAATAAAGAACCCTATTTCTTATCTGTCCATTCTTATCCATGTTCCTGACTTCAGCCCATTTGCTTTCATTGTTTATTATATTTATTACTGTTTTAGTATAGTTGATTTCCTGGTTTTTATGAATATTAAAAGCGTTGGCAACCACATCTCTATCTCACAATTTTTTTTTAATTAAAATGTTGTAGGATTGGAAATGTTCCTTTATACATAGGAATTGAGCATATACCTATGCTTATGTATTTTTTATAATTCATTATTGATAACCTACAAAATGTTACTTATGTGTATTTCAGATTATCAGCATCCAAGAAATAGAATCATCCATGCATGCACTTCTTTTAAAACAAGCCTTGACCTTTATGAAACGCAGGCAAGATGAACTAAAATATGAATCAACGCATTTACAACAGTTATCATGTTAGTGTATTTCGTGTTCAGTACGATTTATCGTTAAGCTGAATTATCAGCTGGAGAATATAAATATTTGTATTCTGTATAAAAAATGTTTTTTGCGTATCTTCTCACTAACCTTTCACCTACCATTTTTAAAAACCTCAAAATATGTAGAGCCAGGGCTTTAGAATGTCTTGAATTAAGTCTAAGACAAAAAAAAATAAAATGACTTCTAATCATTTTAGTATTTGAGACAGAATATATGGTCAGATAATGACTATTTTGAGATGAGTTGACGTAAATCTATAGGCCGTGTCAGAAATGTAACTTATTAAAGATTTCATGGCCCTTCCACAGATTAGTTATGGAGGTTAAAGACATTTTGATGGGTTTCAGTAGAGAATCATCTGTAAAATCTCAAGATTCGGATTTAAAAAAAAAAATAGATTTGGATTATAGTTCTCACACTGGTTTTGTATTTTCAGAGATGCCTTCCTTTGATTAAAGTGCTGTCCAGGGAATAGTGAAAGATGGGATCATAACCAAATAGCTGATTAAAGCAAAATGACTTCAAACACATGACCTGTAGTTATAAATTATGGTATATACTGAAGTAAAACGTAGTATGAATAAGATTGGTAATGCAAATTTAAAAATTCAGGCACAGAAAAAAAAAACTGGTAAAAAGTACTAAGAAAAAGAATATGCGAAAAAGAAACTTGGTAGAATTTTGTTAGTGTTCTCAAGTACTGAACTATTTTCACTAGCCAAGGTGTCAGGCTAGCAAGCAAGCTCAATGCCTTTTAATATTATGGTTGGGAGCTAACATTGAAATTTCATTGCATGATGAAATATGCAATTCAAGCATATTAAGTGTATTTATATATACTTGTATGTATATATACCCGAGATATAACTTTGGTTTCAAAGTGTCTTACTTTATTTCTTTTAAGAATTTGCAGTATGAAATCAATTTTATTCATTAACAGGCAGAGCTGAGACATCAACAAATGAAAGCTTGGCTATAGATGAAAAAACTCAATGGATTTTAGAAGAGATTGAATCTCGAAGGTAGCTATATAAAGTGAAGACTTAAAGCATCATTGAGCAAGTATTTTTTGCTACTTAAATATAGTTAACCCATATGATATGATTAACCATAACTGAACATTAGTTTGTGAGGATGACATAAAACCAAGATTTAGTTAAACAGCCCTAAACCCCAGCATTTAAAGACACACTGGTGTATTAGGTCAGTCAGAAGGAACAGGTAAATGGTATTTCTTGGTCTGGGAATTTTTTGTAAATAGCAGCCACCCGTTATTTTATTGTTACCCCCTCTTTAAAGTCTGTGTAGCCCATGAGAATGTCCTGTAAGAAGAAGAGGGAGAACTACCAGTTAAGATTAATCAAGCTAAAATGCCAAAAATATTAACATAAAATTGTGTGCTAATAAGGTGGTTTATATTCTGAGCATTTTAAATAAATGGTGACTCCTTTTTGTTTTAAAGCATTTCTTTTCAACAGGAACTGTTTTTGTTTTCGGTTTATTGCAAAACATAGGTCACGAAGAAGACAAGCAAGGGCACTTTGTGGGAATTGTGATCACCAGGAAGGGACATCTAGTGATGATGAACTGTCTTCAGAAGACATGATTGACTTCCAAGAAACCCAAGGTTAGTTATCAAGTTTCTAATATGTCTTAATTTGAAATATTGAAATGGTAGGAAATACTTTACTGTGATTGCCCTTAAATACATAAAATATATAAAATAGTTGAAATTCAGGGAAAAAGGAACACATTTTTTACCCCCTTTTTAGACTTTTCCTGGGGCACTTGGCTGGCTCAATCAGTAGAACTGACTCTTGATCCTGAGCTTGGGGTCGTGAGCTAGAGCCCCATGTTGGGGGTAGAGTTTACTCCAAAAAACAAAAAACACTTTTTCTACTTCTGAAAAAAGTGAGATAAAATGGAGGAACGTTGTGAGTATTCTACATCCTTACAGTTTTTTCCCTCAGCCTTTCTCATCTTTTGTAAAGGAATGATGAACATTTTTAATTTCATTTCTCTGCTACAAACTGTCTATATTATAGTTTTTAATTGAAAACAATTACATTTAGAGGTACCTGGTTGGCTCAGGTGGTAAAGCATGTAACTCTTGATGATCTCAGGATTATGAGTTTGAGTCCCATGGTGGGGGTAGAGGTTACTTAAAAATTTTAATGGTATGAGGAAGTAAAATATTGTATATTTGAAAGAATGTGGGCCTTACAGTCAAATAGATGGGTTTGAAGAAGGGCTGTATTCTGTGTGATCTTAGGCAGGTCCATTGACTTCCCTGAATCTCATGTTGTTTGTTTGCTTGTTTTTTGTCTGTGAATAGGTAGTAACACCTGCCTTGTAGAGAAGATAGTTATACGCTGAAATAGCAGGGACTCAATAAATGGTGGAGTTTGTTAGTGTCACTATTGCTATTAAAGTGATTTTTTTAATAAAAATTAATTTATACGTTAACATCAAAGGAAAGTTTTCAGCTCAGTTGATTACATACATAGTTGTACATGACTGTGTTTATAGAAAGCAAATAAAGTTCACAAACTTAAAATACCCGAAACACAGGGACTCATTTTGTTTACAGGTGATATTTTACAGGACCACAAGAAGATTTTTGAAGATGTACATGATGATTTTTGTAATATCCAGCATATTTTGTTGAAATTTCAACAATGGCGGGAAAAGTATCCTGATTCTTATTATGAAGCTTTCATTAGTTTGTGCATACCGAAGCTTTTAAATCCCCTAATCCGAGTTCAGTTGATTGATTGGAATCCTCTTAAGGTATTTAAGCTTAACATAGGAAAGAAATAATTCTGCCATGGTCATTATTAAAATGCCCTTGTTATCAGTTTAGCTTTAAAATACATACAGTTGGAATTGATAGTGCGTTGGGGTAATAGTTTGCATTCATCTTTTCTTGTTTCTTTTCTTTTTGTTTCTCCCTTTATTTTTAAGTCTGAATAGCACTAAACATCTGTCAAGGAAACACTTTTATTTTTTATCTACTTCTATGATAAATTTAAGACCATTTTTAAATGATTTAAAAGTGTAAAGATAGTATTAGCTTTTTTTTTTTTTTTTAAGATTTTATTTATTTATTCATGACAGAGAGAGACAGGCAGAGAGAGAAGCAGACTCCATGCAGGGAGCCCAACATGGGACTTGATCCCAGGTCTCCAGGATCACACTCCGGGCTAAAGGCGGTGCTAAACCGCTGGGCCACCAGGGCTGCCCAGTATTAACTTTTAAGAATTTTAGTGTGAGGAAATTCAACTTAGGTACCAACAGTACTGAAGTTTGGAGATAAGGTATTGGCAATAATTTGGTTTGGAAAGCTGCATTGAGGAGGGAGGATTTAAATGAGGACTGAAGGGTATAGGAGATTTAAACAGGAGACAAAAAGGAAAGTTTTTGTAAAGGCACATAAGGAGAAATCATAGTTCAGGAGGTAGTGATTGTATAGAGTTTCAGATCCTAAAGAGATAGGAACTTATTTTGGTAAATAATGGGAGGAGTAGCATTATGAAAGTAATAAAATGTTTTAGGAAGTCCTAGCAGCAGGCTAACTTGGAGGGAAGGGAGATGAGAGATGGATATAAAACTGAAAGGCTACTGCTGTACCCCAAGTCCAAGGTAGTGAATTCTTCGTACAGAGTGGTAGTGACAAAGGAAAGAGAAAGGGTGGATTACAGAGAAAGAGAAAAAAAACAAGAAACAGACTCATAACCATGGAGAACAAACTGATGGTTACCAGAAAGGAGGAGGGTAGGGGGGTGGGGTGGGTGAAATAGGTGATAGAGATTAAAGAGTGCACTTGCTATGATGAGCACTGGGTGATGTATGGAAGCGTTGAATCGCTATATTGTACACCTGAAACTAATACAACTGTATATTAACTGTATTAGAATTAAAATAAAGAATTAGTAAAAACTGAGAATCACCCTGACACACCACATTGAAAGGTGGCCCCAGTGTTTTGATTCTGGGTTATTAGAACAGTAGTAGTTCCATTAATAGAAATGAGGCATTTCCAGAGGGAAAAAGATTTTGAAGGAAGTTTTACTGATAGTGTGGAACATCCATGTGGATATGTCTAGTGAGGAAACAGAAATGAGAAAGTGAAATTGTAGGAATAGAGGAGAAACGAAGATAAAGATTTAACAACGTGAAGGAGACAGAGCCATATCCTTTTCTCTTTCTCTGCCCTAGTCATGCATGCCTGCCTGTTGCTGTGTTAGATTCAGGGCCAGGCAGTATTCATAGTACAGGAACTAAGCTTATCTGTAAGAAAATGTTAAGTAGTTGGTTGAACAGCAGCCTAGTTGTTAATCACTCAAGCTGAGTCGAGTACTCTGTTACACTTAGCAGAGATCTGTTCATTCATTCATTCCACAAATAATAATTGGCCATCTAATTGTAAGCTAAACCACCTATAAATACAAATTTGTGCCTGTGAGAATTGAGGGAACCAGAAATGACTTTTGCATGAGGTAAATGATTTTTTATAAACAAATTCCATGGTTATTTTAAGTGCTATTCTTACAAATATATATTTTGTTCCCAAAAGTAATGTGTGGCAGGTTCTGAACACAGTGGGCATTTTTGGAGTATTTGTCATATGAATGGTGCATAGAATGTAGTTTCTTGTCATACTGTTTAGACATTATGTCTTTGTCATGTCATTCTGCCTAGTGTTGGTGGTCTAGGGCTAAATACAGGGGATTAAAATATGGAATTATTATGTTTGATTCTCAGAACAGGCAATTACTGAAAATATGATTATTTTTAAAATAAACTAATTTTTTTAATATATTAAAAATTTTGATAATTTTTTGTAAGTTTGATGCCATAGGTTTAAAACAGATGCCGTGGTTCACATCTATAGAAAAATTTATGGCTAACAGTATGGAAGATTCAAAGAAGGAAGATAGTTCTGATAAGAAAATCTTGCCTACTGTCATCAACAAAACAGTTATTCCTCGACTTACAGGTACTGCTTTGTAATCTTGATAAAATTAAATTATTCTCTGGCAGAGTCTAGGATCAATCATTTCTGCTATATTCACAATTTTTTTCAGAAGTTTTTGAATGCAGAAATATGCAGTAAAAACCAATAGATGTAACTGAAGGTGGTTAAAAAGTGCTTCTTTGCACAAGTGATTGGCTACCAAACTGCTAGTATTTCTCTGCCGTTAGCATATGTGACATTAGTGTTGCTTTTATAATATCTAAGTTGTTTATTAGTGGCATACTTTCATTCCTATTCCTTTCTTTTTTTCCCTTGACTTCACCCCATTTCTGCTAATTTCTTTCCTTAAAAAACATTACTGCATCTTCCACATCTGTACTTACAATGGTGTTTGTGCTTCCTGAAGATTTGTTTCATCTGAAATTTTACTTGATCTGTTTCACCATGTCCCTGAGAATTGATTCTTAGACCAAAGTCTCCAGAACTCTTAAAAGATGAAGCAACCACTTTTGTATTGCTTCTTAGCCAATTTGGCTAAGCTCTAAGGATTTTTCTCAGTGTATCTTGCAGTATAGTCATAGTTTTATTAGAAAGTTAATACTTTTACCTAGCTCTCTTAATAACACAGAATATGTTTAAGTGCTCTTCTAAAATCTCCAAATACATCACTTAGAATTAAAGTCCCTCAAATAAGTAGAATTATGAGAAATTAGTATTGTATATATAATCTCAAGTTTTGTCTTGGACCCTCTTTTACTCTTCATGAGCCCCTTGGATAATTTCATGCTCTCCTTTAGTGCCATCTATATCTGTATTGTTCAGTGTGGTAACCAGTGACTAAATGTGATTATTAAAATTTTTACCTAAGTAAAATTAATATCCAGTTCCTCAGTCACCTTAATGACATTTTAAATACTTAATAGTCATATATATGTAGCTCATGGCTATCAGATAGCAGTTATGATGTGTTTTCCCATCATTCTGAAAGTTACTTTGGATAGTGCTGCTCTACATAATTTTAAATCCAAAAGAACTAGAGCAAGTCCAGATCTCTCTTACCAAAGTACTTTCTGAGTACATCTACTTGGATGCCCAATAGGCATCTCCCAAGTCCACATGTGAAATCATACTTACCATCTTTGCTGCAGTTCTACTTCTCTTATGTTTTTTATCTGGAAAGTGACATCTCCATCTACCCATGTATTCAAACCAGGATTTTCAGTCATTCACTCCTCCATCTTTCTTCCCTATACAAGCAATTGCCACATCTGGCTTGGGGTTTTACTTTTAAAACCTATTTCATTTTTTCTATTACTTAACTTGTATTTTACAAGGGTCTACCCTGAGTTAGGCACTGTTGTTGCCTCAGCATATGCAGTAGTGAATAAAATAATAATTCCTTCTCTCCTGCAGCTTACATTCTGTGAAAAAGACAGATAATAAACAAGATAAAGAAAACCTAGAACATGTTAGTTATGAGGGCTGAGATGAAAAAGTAAGAGAAAGGATACAAATTATCAAAGAGAATTGCAATCTAAAATAGACTGGCCAGAGAAGGCCTTATTGAGAAGGTCACAGTTGAGATTCTGAAAGGAAGAAGTGGGCCTTAGGAATATCTGGGGAAATAGGACCCAAGGCAGTGGAAACAGCAAATGCAAAGGCCCCGAGGCAGAAGCCAGCCTGATTTGCTTGAAAAACAGCACATAGGCCAGTGTAGCTATAGTAGAGTGAGATGGATGGAGAGCAGGAAGAGGTTAACAAGATGGCAAAAGCTGGGGTGCCTGGGTGGCTCAGTCAGTCAAGCGTCCAGCTCTTGGTTTCAGTTCAGGATATGATCTCGGTCATGGGATCAAGTGCTGCGTTGGGCTCCCCCACCCCATCCCCCACAGAGTCTGCTTTAGATTCTCTCTCTCCCTGCACCTCCCTAAAAATCTTTTTAAAAGATGACAGGAAAAAAAAAAAAAAAAGATGACAGGAACTATGTTCTATAGGTCCTTATAATCATTTGTAAGACCTTAATTTCTTACTGTAAGTGAAAGAGTGAGAAGTAATTGGAGAGTTTGGAACAGAGAAATGATTATCTGCCTAACATTTTGATAGAATCACTGTGGTTACTGTGTTGAGAATGAACTGTATAGATAGACCACTTAGAAAGCTTTTGCAGTAATCCAAGCAACAGATGATACTAGTTTAGGGTAGGGTATTAAAAGTGGAGGTGCTGAAAAGTGGTCAAATTCTGCATACATTTAAAGAGAGCACTAACAATTTGCTAATGGTTTGGTTGTGTGGAGCAAAAGAGAGAGGAATCAAAAGTGACTGCATGGGTTTGGGCATGTGGAAGGACAAAGTTGCCATTTCCTGAAGTGGAAGAGACTGAGAGGACCACATTTAGGGTAAGGAGGTGTTATCAGGAGCTCAGTTTGACAAATGTTGAATTTGCGATGCCTGTTATCCAAATAGAGATGCCAATTAGGTTGTTGAATATGTGAATCTAAAGGAGAGGTCCAAGTAGCAGACATAAATTCGGAATTATCAGCACATAGATGCCATTTAGAGCCATAAAACTGACCTTAAATACTAAGGGTATAAATGTAAATAGGAAAGAAAAGCTAAGTGACCTGAGTCCTGAGGTACTCCAGCATTTATGAATCAAAGAGATGACAGGCACCACCAGCAAAGGAGACCACAGAGGTAGGTGGGAAACCAGGAATGCTATCCTGGATGCCAAGAAAAGAAATGTTTGTAAGGGGAGTGATCAACTTTCCCAATTGTTGCTGATAAATCAGATGGGGACTAGAATCAACCATCGGGTTTTGCAATGTGAAAGTCATTGCAATGGTAAGAATAGTTTAGGTAGAATGGTTAGAGATAAGGCCTAATTGAATAATTGAAATGAATTCAAGAGTTAATAGGAGGAGAGAAATTAGAGATGGTTTTTGAAGAATTTTGTTGTAAAGTGAAGGAAAATCAGGCAGTACTAGAGGGAAAAGAAGGGTCAAGGGAGGGATTATTTTCAATATAAGAGAATAATTCTTCTAAGGCTAATGGGAAAGATCCAGTGGAAGTGATAGCAATACTGAAATTAAAAGGGTGAATTCCAGAAACAGGATCTTCCAGTAAGCCAAACGGGTTGAGACATTTTGCACAAATAAAAGGTTGGCCTTAGTGAGGACCATAGGTGCTTCATCCATAAGAATGGAAGACAAGTTCAGAGTATGTGGGCATACATGTAGGTAAGTGTGTAGATTCTGCAGTAGTTGCTTGTCTGTTTTCCATCAGTTGAGGAAGTCATCAGCATGAGGGTGAAAGCAAAGGAAGAGAAAAAAGTAAATAGTCGTCTAGAAGAGCTAAGTTCATATACTGAGAAGAAAAAGACATAAAATGATCATCTGGGTGAGAGGGAGGTGGAATGGTCCAGGGAAACAATGTGATTGCTAGGCAGAGTGAAGGGCTTACTGGAGTTTTACCTTGATAAGTTTAAAGTGTATTTTTTTCCTAGCCATGTTTTAGCAACATGGTTAGAGCCATAGACTCAGTGACAGGTGGATTTAACTATGGCTGTGACTGAGTTAGAAAAATTCAATAGAGCCCAAAAAGGACAAGGAAATTGATGTATGCAAATACATAATGGTAATGATTGGCATGGATTTTAAATTGTGTAGGATGGAAGTCTTTGCTAAAGGCCTCAGCTGTTTATTTGTGACAAGTAAAGCAATCTAGTAAATAAACTGTACACTACTGAAACTTTGTTTCAGACTTTGTAGAATTCATTTGGGATCCCTTGTCGACCTCACAAACAACAAGTTTAATAACAAACTGCAGAGTGATTCATGAAGAACTTTCCACTTGTGCAAATGAAGTTAGTAAAGGCAAACAGGTAATAATTTCTAGAGTTGTAAACTTCATGATTCATTTATAGGTTAATGTAATTTTGTTATCTTTGTTACAGAAGATGCAAAAGAAATAATTACCAAAAAACAATTTGGGGAAAAATAGATTTACTTCCAATTTATAGAAACTAGGATTGAGGGGACACCTGGGTGGCTCAGTCAGTTCAGCACCTTCCTTCAGCTTAGGTCGTGATTCCAGGGTCCTGGGATCGAGCCCCACATTGGGCTCCCTGCTCATCAGAGAGTCTGCTTCTCCCTCTGCTTCTGTGCTCCCCCCATTCATGCTCTCTAACTCTGCTCTCTCTCTCTCTCCTTCAAATAAATAAATCTTCAAATAAATAAATGTAATGTTTAAAAAAAAAAAACCTAGGATTGACCATTCCTTCTTTATAATATTAAAAGAATATACCTTCATATTTATGAACACTAACAGGAATGGCAGTTATTATTAATTATAGGATATATGTACATATAATAAGACCCAGATTATTATTTTTATTCTTATTAGATTATTCCTCTCTGTTTAGTGGTCTGATTTTTGTTCTCATGGTCAAGCCAGCCATTTTTCAGGTTTGTGACTATACATTGGCACTGCAGAGATAAACAGGTATAAAATACATTTGGGCAAACTTGTTTCTTCTAAAAGAAAACGATTATTTACTTCTGTTCTTTTGGCAGAAATCTGGTAGATTGTGGCTTTGCTTTAACAATGATTTTAAAATTAGGTTAACATTCATTAACTAGTTATTTGTAATCTACCAAGTTAAGAGCTATAATCTCTTTAAGGATTCAAAGTTCAGTAGGATACAGAGCACCTGGCTGGCTCAGTCAGTAAGGCATGTGAGTCTTGATCTTGGAGTCGTAAGTTCGAGCCCCACATTGGGGTGTAGATTATACTTAAAAAAAAAAAAGTTCAATAGGATAGATTTTCATCTCACCATGATTTAGAATTGAGTTTTACTCAACATAAGACATAAGGAGAGACCTTTAAGAGGCTTTGGTGGGAGTTTGTTAAATCTTTTATTGTGGCATTCTTTTTTTATCATTCTGTTTGTTGATGAGAATGTCGTATATTTATACAGTTAAATCAGTAAACCAAGTATATGTTGACCTTTAAGGAAATTGAGGGAGATTGTCAGTCTGGAGAGCATCTAGAGTAGAATGACCAAGGTAGTTGAGAAGCAGGGAAGCATGTCACATTCTTACTCTGAACACCATTAAATTTTAGCACTGGGAATTATTATGAAGGAGGAAAGGCTGTAAGAAGAGGGAGAAGGGAGAAACCTGTATGATTCTGCTCTCAAGAAGCATGTAATTTTAAAGGAGATAAGATGTGTATAAATTATTATTTAAGGGGTGCCTGGGTGGCTGAGTCAGTTAAGCTCCCTCTTGATCTCAGCTCAGGTCTTGATCCTCCAGGTCATGAGTTCAAGCCCCACGTTGGACTCCACTCTGAGCATGAAGCCGCATTAAAAAAGAAAAAAAAAAAAAAACTTCTTTAAAATAAGAAGGGAGAGGTGGGGGAAAGGCAAGGAACACTTATTTAACTCCTGCTCTGTACTTGGCACTCTGTTAAGTCTTATAACCTGTGTCATCTTACTTAGTTCTGATAGCTCTGTTAAAAAAAAAATGGGTGATAGCTTCTTTTTACAAATGAAGAAACTGAGTCTCAGAAATTTGTTCATAGTAATACCTTGAATTAGAACTATGATTTGTTGGGCAGCCCAGGTGGCTCAGCGGTTTAGCACTGCCTTCAGTCCAGGACGTGATCCTAGAGACCTGGGATCGAGTCCTGTGGCGGGCTCCCTGCATGGAGCCTGCTCCTCCCTCTGCCTGTGTCTCTGCCCCTCTATCTGTCTCTTGTGAATAAATAAAATCTTAAAAAAAAAAAAAAAAAAAAACTAGGATTTGTTTTTGGGTTTTGTTTTGTTTTTTTTTTTTAAGATTTTATTTATTCATGAGACACGCAGAGGCAGAGGCACAGGCAGAGGGAGAAGCAGGCTCCCCATAGAGAGCCCAGTACGGGACTTGATCCCAGGACTCCGGGATCACGTCCTGAGCCAAAGGCAGACGCTCAACCGCTGAGCCACCCAGGCATCCCTAGAACTAGGATTTGAACCTTAATCTTACTTTAAAGCCTACACTCATGTCACTAACCACATTGCCTCCCCTGAGCAGCCCAGATAAAATACTATGAAATGTTCAAGTGGCATTTGATGAACTGGGACCTAGTGGAAAGTAAAGGATTTGAACAGATAGCAATTATGATGGAGAGGAAGGCATTCTTCATCTCCCTCCAACAGGATAAAAACATATAACATGAAAATCATTGCAGAAATTAGAGATATTTAACTTAGAAGAAGATATACATGAAGATGCTATATTTGAAGGAGGAGTGGATTTAATCTATGTCGTTACAGAGCATAGAACCAGGATTAGTAGATAAGAGCCACAAGAAAGTAGTTATGGAATCTTATATTTGCTCTCTATATGGGATTATGTAATTCTAACTTAAATATAAGCTAAATAGTGCTTTACTGTTTATTAAACACTTTCACATTGTTTCCTTTGATCTTCAGAGCCTTGTAAAATCTGTTGACTTTAATTTCATTTTACAGATGAAGAAGCTGGGGCCCATAGGGTGCTCACTTGTAAAAGGTCGCTTGGGTACTAAGTGGTAGATCTGGCACTTCGTAGTTTGTAATAACTAAAATCTTTCAAAAGTGTTACGATTCACTCATGAAGTTTTTAGATTGGGAATTTTTGTTCTGGAAACCTTCCCACTATGAATGTTGAAAATGGGTTCTTTGTGTAGATAGTAGGAGACTGGACTTCATCATTTTTCAGCTTCAACAGTGTTGGCATTTGGAGCAGATAATTATTTGCTGTGGAAAGTTGTCCTGTGCATTGTAATATGCTTAGCACCTTCCTTGGCCTCTGACCACTAGATTCCAGTAGTGCTCCCTAGTCTTGACAACCAAAAATCTATCCAGACATTATAATATTCCTTGCGCATAGCACAGTCACTCCTACTTAAGAATCACTGAACTACATAGCATTCGTGGCTACTGAGACAGTTTGCTTTGCCAGAGAGATCACTGTATTTTTTTCAGTGATGTGTAAGAAATTGAAGAAAATGAAAATGGTTCTAGAAGAATGGAATCAGACAGCAATAGTTCCCATTTTCAAAATGAGAAGTAAATGTTTCTGTAAGCTAATGCCTAGTTAAGAATGGTTTTGATTCTTAAGATTCTAAAATAGATTATTACAGAGGTAGATTATAAACACTTGAAGTGGTGATTACTATAATCTATCAGTGATAGGGTTCCTTAATGCAGGTGATTGTTTATCGAAGCAAATTCTCACATATTATCTCAGTTACTTTCATAGATGAATAAGATACTGTGCAGTTAGAGTAGGTAGTGTATTTAAGTATGTTATGATTGTTCCTGTGGATCTAATGGGGAAAGATAAGCTTAGCAGTGGTACAGTTGGGTACAATAAACTGGAAGAGTATACAGAATACTGGACCAAGAGGGATGTGGCTATCTTTAGGGGGAGTCTTTTAGTATTAGATATCTTCTAAATATTGGCCCTGTTCAATATTGAACTGGATGAAGATATGTAAAATGCATGCTAATAAAATTTGCCAGTGGCACAAAGTTAGGAATTCTGCATAGACTTATGGATAGTAGAATAGTATCCGAAAAGATTTCAGACACTGACTTTCAAAATATACGATGTAAAAGAAATGTATATTATGTTCTACCCCTGTATTAAAACATTCAACTGCATAAATAAAAGATAGGAAAGAAACAGCCTTGAAGCAGCACAGGTAAACCAAAGAGGGACATAACCAACAGTAAACCCAATATGAGCTAGTTGTGTCGCTTGAGTACCAGAAAACCTAAGGGGAGTTCTTTCTACTGAGTGTGTGCTATTTTGAGTAAAAATGTTGATAAATGCTTTGCTCATAGATAAGACTTCCCTGGTTATGTTGCATATAATTCTGGATGTAAGGGTATTAAATAAATGGGAAGTGTCTAAGATGGTATGGAAACAGAAAATCTAGAAAAGTGAGATATCAGTCTTCAAATCTGAAGAATTGTCATGTGGAAGGGAGATTACATTTGTTTTATATATGATACTAAGAAGTAAATTAGGGAGGACCAAGAAGTGGAAGGTATAGAAGTTTGTTGCTCTAATCTAACAGTTAATAGCTGCCCAAAGTTATAGGCAGCCTCAGGAGATCATGATTCCCTATCACTGTGTGTTTTTAGGCATAGGTTGGTTGACCAGTTAGTGGAAATGTGAAAATGATATCAAGTGTTTAGATTGCTAGTTTTCAGATTTTTTATCAACAACTTTTTTCACATAAAATCTTACACACCCCTATACACAAACACACAAAAGCAAGGCTGCTTTTGTTGTGATGAGCACCTGCCGTCACTCTCCCTTGAAGGGCTCAATATCTGCCCAAGCCACCTAGGATTATCTCTCTGGTTATAAAGAGCAGTGTAAAAACTACTAGATAAAGCTTATAAGAGTCTTTTCAAAGCAGTTTTAAAGAGTGTACAGAGTATGTGTGTGTGGTTGTTAAAACTTTACTGTTCAGAGCACTTTCCCCCCACCACCAAATAATGTATTTGAATATTTGGAAAAGGTAATGAGCTCAGAGTTTTAAAATCCATGAATTTGTTTTAAATAATTTTTTTAGAAATAATGTCAAACTTACCAAAAACTGTCATGAGTAAAAATAGCATACTCATAGGCCTTTCACCCAGATTCACCTATCATTAATATTTTGCCCCATTTACTTTATTATTTGCTGTCCCATTGTACGTATACATGATTTGTTTCTCCTGAACACTTTGAGAGTAAATTGCATATTTGCTAAGAATAAAGGTAGTCTATTACATAACTGTTAGGTTTTCTTTTTAATGATCGGCGGACAAAATTAAAGACAGCAGAGCCAGGCGGTAGGTTCGATAGTGCTTTAATGGGGAGGGCTCCCGGGGAGGTTCAGTGACTGGGAGAGGAGGCCTGAGTCAGGGAAGTCAGGGAAGTCGCACCTAGGCAAACCACAGGAAGGTTTATCTAGAGTTTTCTCAGGAAGATGGGGGCAGGGCAGCATTCCGATTAGGGCAGGGTTACAGGTCTTTGTAAGCTAAGTTAGGTAGGGTGACAAGGCGGCGTTATCGGGAGGTTGCTGGCCTCGGGTCGGCCATTTTGAGGTCCGTGGTCTTGCCAGCCCAACAGTAGCCATGGGACACTTACCATTTTTAGTAAACTTCCTGATACTTAATCTACCATCCATATTCCATTTCCCATCATTTGACTCAATAAGGTCTTTTATAGCATTTTTTTAGACTACTTTTTAAGAAACAAAAATTTAAACAATATGGAAATATCGGTCAAGGCTAGTATTCAGCATGATGTAAATTAAATGAAAAAACAAAACATAATTGTCTTTTCTAGTACAAACACTAATTTAGTAATCTGAATAAGTTCAGATACTACTTGGGAGATAATACCTAGAAAGTGATCTTTATTCTTTTAAAATAATTCAAAATATTTTAGAAATGGGATTTTAAAAGGTGAATTTTGTTTTTAACATTAAATAGTGATAAGTGGCCACTGGAGGAATATGTCAGAGATATTTAAGTGGAAAAAGAAATAGGACTTCAGTTAGATATACTTTGGGGAAAAATATATTTGGTTGAATTCTACATTTATGAGTAATTTGGTCAGTATAAGGTTTTTGACAGCTTAATTTGTGCTATATACATTGTCACTGACTTGAAAAATACTCTAGTGTGTTTGGCATTTTTATTTTTCAAATGTGAATTCCTTTTTAAGAGTAAGAATAGGATTTTATTATAGAAATTTTAGTAATACATGAAAAAGAATTTTAATTCCCCTTTTCATCCTCATACAAGGACTTGATACCATTTTAGGATATTTTCATCCAGCCTTTTACTTCAGAGTTATAATCCTGGTGGATGTGTACATTTGTATCCTACTTCTTTCCCTTAACATTATCTCATTAAATATTTAATTTTGCATGTTACTACAGTCTTTACAAACCAGCTAAGTAATATTTTCTTGCAATGGATGGATATTACATGTTATCCTAAAGTCTCTGTGATTGAATATTTTGGTTGCTCCCATTCTTTGATATACAAACAATAAAATGAATGTGCCAAAGTGAATTTATTATATCGAAGGACATTGATAAACCAAGAAAGGACCCATAGCTAGAGTATATAAAACGCTTCTACTAATAAGAGAATCTAATTTTAGAGACATCTGGGTGGCTCAGCAGTTGAGCATCTGCCTTTGGCTCAAGGAGTGATCCCGGGGTCCTGGGATCAAGTTCCACATCAGGACAGCCATAGGGAGCCTGTTTCTCCCTTTTCCTATGTCTCTGCCTCTCTATCTCTGTGTCTCACAAATAAATAAATCTTTAACAACAAATACATAAACAAGCACCTTTTAATTAGATACTTAGCAAAACGTCATGTCCAAATGGCAAAAAATGTGAGTGGATGCTCAGAGTGCCTGGGTGTCTCAGTTGGTTAAGCATCCAGCTCTTGATTTCGGCTCAGGTCATGATCTTAGGGTCCTGCCTTGGGCTCCAAGCTCAGCAGGGAATCTGCTTCTCTCCCTCACCCTATGCCCCTCCCCCTGCCTGCATGCATGCTCACCATCTAAAAAGAATCTTTAAAAGAATATGAGTGGATGCTCACTGTCACATTATTCAACAGGAAAATAAAAATTAAAACATAATAAAATATGACTGCATACCCCAGGAATTGCAGACATTAAAAAACAAAAGGATACCACATATTAGTAAAGGTGTAGGGAGACTGGATTTCTCATACATGGCTGGTGGAAATGTAAATGGGGTATCACTCCTTCAGAAAACAATTTGACATTATGTACAAAGTTGAATGTATAAGAATAAATTCCAGCAATTCCATCCTTGTTTGTGTATTTGTTAGAAATGTATGCCTGTATATATTAAAAGACATGTATAAGAACTTTTATACAATGTTGTGTGTAATATAGACCCCAAACTGGAAACCATCTGAATGTCCCATCATTAGTATTCATGTGACAGCATATACTATATATCAATGAAAATGCACTAGCTACAGCTGTATGCACCAACGTGGGTGTAAAGTTCTATGTACCTGATTGATATTTAACACCTGATTCTATGTGTACAAATTTGTACTTTACTGTTAACATTACTTCTTTTGGTAAATAGACTAAATAGACTTCTAACTATGACTATCATTGATGCTTTTAAATTCTTATATAATAGGATTTGCTTAAATCCATTGTTGTGAGAATGAAGAAAGCAATAGAAGATGATGTTTTTATTCCTCTGTATCCAAAGAGGTAAGAGCTGTTAATTTCTAGATTATATAAAATAGCTAATCACGTAACACAGATTTAAGAATGTAATGCAAAAGAAACTATTACATGTTCTCTCAAACATACATAGGCCTTTTAAGATGCAAATTGAGATTTCAACAAAATATTGCACACTTTTTCTATGCCATGTATGATACCTGGCACAGTTGGACATAGGTTTTTTATGTTAAGAACATGACAGATGGCATCATAGATTAAATCTAGATTCTGGAGCCCAAATTTACCATTACTAGATATCTGACTTTGGGCCTCTGTGTGCATCAGTGTCTTGGTATGCAAAATGAGGTATTAATGCCTACTTCACAGGACTTTGTGAAGATGAACAGAGTGCTCAGAATAGTGCTTGGCACAGAAAGCCAGAAACTAGCTGTGAATGGTGGATTTGCTTTAGGAAACAAGTAGGGTGTTTTTGTTTTTGTTTTCCTTGCTTGAGACATTCTAGAAAAATGTTGATACATTGATGTCAAAAAAAAATTACTGCCTGTGCTCTCTTCTAGGATTCTTATGGTTTCAGGTCCCACATTTAGGTCTTTAATCTATTTTATTTTTGTGTACGGTGTAAGAAAGTGGTCCGGTTTTCCAGCAACTTTTATTGAAGAGACTGTCTTTTCCCTTTTGTATATTCTTACCTTTTTTGTTGTAGATCAGTTGCCCATATAAGCGTGGATTTATTTCTGATTCTTTATCCTGTTCCATTGACTATGTGTCTATTTCTGTGCCAGTACCATAATGTTTTGACTACTACAGCGCTATACTATGTCTTGAAATCTGGAATTGTGATACCTCTAGTGTTGTTCTTTCTCATGACTGGTTTGACTATTTGGAGTTTTCTCTTGTTCCATACAAATTTTAATATTATTCTAGTTTTGTGAAAATGTTGTTGGTATTTTGATAGGGATTGCATTAAATCTGTAGATTGTTTTGGGTAGTATGGACATTTTAACAGTATTGGATCTTCCAGTCCACAAGAATGGAATTAACTTTCCATGTGTTTGTGTTGTATTCAGTTTCTTTCATTCATGTTTTATAGTTAGCAGAGTATAGGTCTTTCACCTCTTTGGTTATTTCTAGAGATTTTATTCTTTTTGGTACAGTTATAAGTGGGACTGTTTTTCTTAATTTCTCTTTCTTCTACATTATTATGTAGAAATTTCTGTAAGTTAATTTTGTATCTTATAACTACTGAATTCACTTATCCGTGTAGTAGTTTCAGTGGAATCTTGAGGGTTTTCTATATACAGTATCATAAAGCATATAGTATTTGATGCATATTGATACATTTGCTAAGAAGTCATTAGTTTATAATACTAGATCATGAACTGAAGCTATCCAGTGACTATTTGCAGGATAGAAGGCTTTTGTGGAGAGAAAAGAAGGAACGTCTAAGCTTTCTGGCTAATTTGAATTGTTTAGAGATATCTGCATGTAAAAATCATGCACTGTTAAGGTTTGTTTTGTAATGTTTTAAGTAAGAGATCTGTTCATTTATTTCAAAAGTATAAGTATGTAGTTTTTAAATTTATATTTAAAATGGAGTCCTACCTCCCTCCCTCTCCTGCCATCCATCCAGTTTTTGCCTTTCCTCCTCCATACACATATATGCGTGCAATGATAATCACTGTTGGTAACTTTTTTTTTACCATTCCAGAATTTCTTCATGCAGTTAGAATACTTACATATACTCTAATCTTATCCCCATCCCCCCGCTTTCTACAGCAAAGGAAATACAGAGTTTTAACCATTGTCTTGTGCCTTACTTTTTTTGACTTAGTACATCTTTGAGATCTTTTCATGTCATCACAAGAGTTGTTTCTTCATTCTTTAAGCTACAGAATATGTCTGCATATAATGTACTGGAACTGGTAAGCATGTGAGTGGTAAATAAAGCATTACCAGCAATGCTGTGGATAAGTATAGACCCACCACTCTGTTCATGTGCAAGTATACGCACAGAAAGTATTCTCAGAAATAGGGTTGTTGAATCAAAGTGTAATTGTAATTTTGATATCAGAGCACTCCATTTACATTCTGTTAATGTGTTAAGATGTAATCTGGTTGGTTAAAAAACTGATTTTTTTTTAGACTCTGGTTCTGAAAGATTATTGTTTGCATTTTGTCCTTTCTCTGTTTCAAATTAGCACTGTAGAAGACAAAACATCACCACATTCAAAGTTCCAAGAAAGGCAGTTCTGGTCAGGTGTAAAGGTAAGCAGAAAAATACAAAAATAAACTTTATTTTAAATCCAGTATACTGTAGAGCTGAGATTATTAAACTTCTGTAAAGGACCAAAGAGTAAATATTTTAAGCTTTGATGTCTCTGTTGAACTATTCAACCCTGCCTTTGTGGTGCAAAAACAGTTATAAAACATTATGTGAGCAAATGAGCATGGCTATATTTCAGTAAGATTTACTTATGGACACTGAAATTTCAGTGTCCTAATTTTCACATGTTACAAAATACCCTCTGTCTTTTTTCCCCCAGTCGTTTCAAAATATAAAAACCATTCGTAGTTTGCCAACTCTGCAAAACCAGGCACCAAACTAGATTTAACCCACAAGCCATAGTTGGCCAACTCCTAGTCTAAAAGATGAAGCATCAAGTCATTGCTAAGTCAATGGTAATAAGGAGGGATGGTAAGAAGTTGGGTTCAGAAGACACTTAGGATGAAGCGCTGAAAGGACTTGATGACTAATTATAATTGCATATGAAGATTATGTAGGGTGCTAGCCAAGTTTCTGACTTTGGCAACTTGGTAACTTACAGTGACATTCTTTGAGGGCATTGGAGGAGATACAAGAACAGGTTTGAAGGAAAAATAAAGTTCTGTTTCAGATGGTGAATTGAAGTTATCTGTGGGAAAAATACAGGCAGGAGTCTGAATTGCAGGGGACAGATTGGATTTGGAGATTTGGGAGTCAGCCACATGTAGGCAGTATTTGGAGCCATGGTCATGAATGACAACCTCTCAGTAGATGGAGTGAAGCATGAGAAGGTGGCTAAGGACACAACCTTGGGAAACACTGACCTAAGAGGCAGGCAGAGAAAGTGAAGTCTTCAGAGAAGCCTTAGAATTATGAAACTTAGAGCAGTCATAAGAGGGTGGCATCATGGAAACTAAGCAAAGGATTTTCAAGAGTGAAGACAAGGTATTAAATGCCACCCAAGAGAATTAGGAGAAAGACTGAAAATGTTTACTGGATTTGACAATAGGTTATGAGGGACCTCAGTAGGCATATTTTTTAATAGTGTGAATCCATATTTATTATGTGGATGAGTCAGAGAAAAGACTTTCCAGGAAGAGAGAGCTCAACAATGACATAAAGTGTGGAAAAGCATTGCATGTTAGAGTAATAAATATAGTACTGAGAAGAAAATGGAAAACACCATAAAATTCACAGAAAGATACGGATTGAGAGGAAGGAAGGCAACCAGTATTAATTTTATTGGAATTTCTTATGAGGGTTTTAAATTTTACATATCAGAGCAGTGAGGTTGAGGTGGTCAGGTTTGATGGTTTCTCAGGATCACACATTAGTAACAGTGGCATTGGCTTTTAATAGTATTCTTCATGAATCCCTGTGTCCTGGTGGTCTTGTACCCAATGGCCCCAGACTCTGGGAGTGTGAGTTGAGGAGGAAGATTATTGATCTGGAAAGGCTCCAGTGAAGTTATTTGAGATGGGTTTTGGGTAATAGTCCTAAAAAAATAGGATGAACAAATACATGAAGTTTGAAAAGAATTAGGTATTTATTCAGAAATATTTTCTATTGATTGTAAAATTGATATTTTTACCAGTGCTACTGGAGTTTAAAATAGTTTGACAAACATTTTATGCTTGTTGGAGACTACTGCAGTTTTCCTTTAGAGAAACAGTACATACTCATTTGATACTTTATTTTATTTTAGCTCTTCCGCAATATTCTTCTTTGGAATGGACTCCTCCCTGATGACACCTTGCAAGAACTAGGTCTAGGGAAGCTACTAAACCGTTACCTTATTATAGCTCTACTTAATGCCATACCTGGGCCAGATGTTGTTACAAAGTGCAACCAGGTAACTGAAGATTCTAATTTTATCATTTTTAAAAATTCAATTAAAATCTGTTTTGTGGGGGGCCTGGCTGGCTTAGTAGAGTATGTGACTTCTGATCTCAGGATCATGAGTTTGAGCTCACCTTTGGGTGTAGAGATCGCCTTAAAAAAAAGTTTAAAATATATTTTATAACAGAATAATTAAAACTGTGGTACTCACATAATAACAAATCAATCTAATAGACTAGAAACTCAAAATCAACCAACCTCTCACTATTTAAGAATTAGTATACTGGTTTGAATTGTCACCAGCAGGGAAAAGAAAAATGATTTAATAAATGGTGCCAGGCCAACTGGTTAATTTTTTACAAAATGAATTTTAAATCCTCAACTTTGACTAAATACCAGCATAAATTTCAGATGAAATAAAGTATAAAAATGAAACTGTAAAATATTGTACTAAGAAGACAAACTTAATCTGTTTGTAACGGAGTCCTTTTGAACTTAAAAGCAAAAGAAAAAATGAAAAACTGTAAGCGATTTGATGAAAGTATAAAACTTTAGTAAATGAAAAAAAAACATTTAAAAGGTTTTTAATCAAGAGGGGGAGCCCGGGTGGCTCAGTGGTTTAGTGCTGCCTTCAGCCCAGGGTGTGATCTTGGAGACCCGGGATTGAGTCCTGCATCAGGCTCCCTGAATGGAGCCTGCTTCTCCCTCTGCCTGTGTCTCTGCCTTTCTCTTTCTCTCTCTCTCTCTCTCTCTCTGTGTGTGTCTCATGAATAAATAAATAAAATCTTTTAAATGAATAATAACAAGTATCAAGATTATTTGATCATTGTTAAAACTGGAAGATAGGTCCTTTGGGGTTTACCATACGTATTCCTTCTGTTGCTGTGAAATTTTCTATAATGAAAAGTTTAAAAGGAAGGGAGTTGAAAAAAGTTATAAGCCATAACAAAGACTAATGTCCACACTTTTAAAAAGCTCTTTAAAATTAGAAAACAATTCAGATATTCCAATTAAAAATGGACAAAAGACAGGAAATTCACAAAAAAAAGTAAAAATAATTTCTAAACATGTGGAAATGATTAACAAGTACTAATAATCAGAGAAATGCAAAATAATAAAGTAAGGATATTATTTTACCTATTATGCTGACCAGGTATTGGGGTTTTGGGGGTTTTTGTTTGTTGTTGTTGTTTTGCTGTTATTTTCTTATTCCTTGTATTGTCCTAAGCATGAGAAAATGACAGCACATTTCAGGGCCACTTAGAATGGGTGGTACAGGGGTTCTGAGAAACAGTCTGTGCTGGTGGAATGAGGGATAGAATTCTGGAGACTTCTGGCATGATGGCTTCAAAACCTTTAAGGTTCATACCCCTCTGACTTAGGGTAAATGCTTTGAAGTAAAATTGCTAAGATAAATCAGAGATGCACATGTAGATTTGTTAAAGAAAAAAATTGAGATCTAACTGGCTTTATTAAGGATCTGTGAATCAGGCAGTATTCCATATCAAGTAGAGAGAGGCTCTCAGGGGCTGTACAAAATGTAAGGTTTTTGTAAGAAAGCAGGTGGGGAAAGAAAGCTATTAGCAAAAGAACGTGATTATTTCAGGCCAGGACATGGTCTTTTTGGGGAGAGGACAGGGATATGGGTTTTATCATGCAGATGACCTCACTAGTGCCTATCCAGAAATCTGGGGATTGACTGTTAAAAAGTAACATTTCTGGGATGAGTTGAAACTGCAGTTAAGTCTTAGGTTTGCTGTTGTAAGAAGTAAATGACTCCATTTGGGGCATGTTTCTTTATCAGAATTTAAGTACAAAGAATATTCTTGTAGCATTATTTATAATAGAAATGGAAACAACCTGAATATCCAAAAACATTGCCTATTCATCAGGTAAAAGTCATAGTTAAGAATATGGAAAAAAGTTTATAAATTTAAAAACAACATGAAACATAAGATAGCAATTCCTAACCCGCCAGATATTTTGGGCTATGATTTTTTCATCATATAGTTTTAAAATACATTATCTCCCCAAAACTGAATTAATTGTCCATGCTATGTGTTTCAGGTTCAGTTTAGTCCCCAGAAGTAGGGAAGATGCAGGACATTCTCTCCACAGCTTATGGCTAGAAAACCTTGCCAAGGGGGCAGTTGGGTGACAGGTGGTTGAGTGGCCCACTCTTGATTTGACTCTGGTCATGATCTCAGGGTCTCGAGATGGAGCCCCATGTTGGGGTTCTTTTCCTCTGCATCCCACTCTCTCCCCACCCTCACTCACACACATGCTCACTCATTCTCAAATGAATCTTATTTTTTTTTTAAAAAAAAAAAAAAGGTAGATAAAACCGTGCCAGGACAGTGTGGCTTTAAGTCCTCTGATCATTTATGGGGAAACTAGGTAGTTCTGTGAAAATTTTATCGAGATTGTGATGCAAACCAAGAGAAAAGCATGTGCAAATAACTTTAAATTTCAGTCCAGTCAGGGCTGGTTTTTAAACCCTAAAGAAGAGATAAGTATTTCTCCCCTAGGCAGTGTGTCTACATTTTTTCTGGATAATTGAAAAAGGTGATTGAATAGGATAAGTCTTTTTCCTCAACTGTGTTTTCAAAATAGTACTTTCCAGAACTTTCATTTAATATTTTTATAATGTATATGTGGTGTATTTTGCCCAGCTTTTTACTTTTATAGATACTGATCTTGACCTTACCAATTATAGCATAATCTGTCCAAAACTTTCATTGACTATGATCTCAGGTTTTTATTTCCTCCCATTCTCTCTCTTTTATTCTTCCTTCTGCTATGAAGAAGGTTTTGTGTTCTTAGGTTTTTTTACTTAAAATATTTTTTTATTTTTACCAAAACTTTCCCCAAAATCATGTATTTCCTTTAGCATAATGGTAAGTGTTGGTGTTTTCCCCATAAAAGAAAAATTGAATGCAACTATGTATGCTTCCATGAACATTTAAAGCAATATATTAACAAAAAAAAAAATCCATGACTTTTTTATTCTATGTATCTTACAATCACCTACTTGATTCCTTATGTAGATCATATGCTAGGTCACCCAATTTCTTAGTATGAAATAATACAAATGCATGTATTTTATATTTGTGTTGACTATAAATGTTTTGTGTCTAAGCATTTCTGGTGTTTAGTTTTACATTATATTTGTACAGATTTAATAGCTTGGGATTGGAGTGTATAGAAAGTATTACAAATACCCCTAGAGAGTAGTCATAAAGAATAGTCTATTTTAAGCTGTTTAAAATACAATTCTCTAAGAAGTCTAAACTCTGACAAAAAAAAATTCTCAAAATGTATTCAACCGTAAACTGTAAAGATTAAATTAAATGATTGATGTTAGCAAAAGACATTAGATAACTGTCATTAATAAAAACTGACCGTGTGTTTTAATTAACAGATAGCAGCATCATTACCAGAAAAATGGTTCCAAAACTCTGCCATGAGAACATCTATTCCTCAGCTAGGAAACTTCATCCATTTTTTGTTACAGTCTGCACATAAATTATCTAGAAGTGAATTCAGGTAATTTTGCATATTTATATCTCCATAAGAATAGTTCAAGGATTCTGTTTTACACTCCGCAATTTTTAGAAAGATTTGTACTTTGATTCTAATTTTAAGTCTGTGGAGACTACCACTATAGAATTTGTAGATATTTTCATGTGCAACCTTTGGAATCACTATTTTATACTTAAACCTCATGCCTAATAGTTCAAATTTTAAATGTAAATGTCTTCCAAAATAAGCATTTCCAGAAAACTATCACACAGGGGAATTTAGGAAACTATAAATAAAAAACCTCTTAATAAGTGTATTGTTCATTTTCCTGACCATTTTAAAATCTCAGCAGTTGTTAAGTACAGGTCTGCAGGCTGCTATTTACCCAGCAATAGCTAGATCTGTTTTGGATATTTCACTAATAGCATTAAATGTTTAGTAAAGTGGTGTTTTGATAAACCACTTTCTCCAAAATGAAATTTTAAAAAAATTTTTTAAAAAGCCCAGATAATAAATAAATAGCCCAGATACATAGCATTTCTGTAGGTAAATATTCCCACTGAGGCTCCCACCAAAGTAACCCATACGAGCTTGATAGCCCCACACCATAACTCAGTTTTCTGATAGATTTAACTGCGTTTTATAGTCATTTGTGTTAAAATTTGCTACCATACATCCACTAATCTACATTTAAACCCTGTATGGAAAAGGTAACATTTGAATATTTTATGCTACTGTAGATATTGGCTTAAAATTTTTGTTTCAGATTAATTAATGACTAATGATTCACTATGCTCTCCTAAACATTTTCCTTTATTTTTCAGAGATGAAGTCAAAGAAATAATTTCTATTCTGGTGAAAATAAAAGCTTTGAATCAAGCAGAATCCTTCATAGAAGAATATCACCTAGACCATCTGAAATCAATAATTGAAGAAGTTTGAACAAGCCGTAGGAAAGTACTAACATGAGATTTTAATATAATCAAACTTGCCTCCTTTGTTTGGGGATGAGGTGGAGCCAGACTTCATCCCTCCATTCCTTTTACTTTCTGGTATCATGAAAGGCTGCCCCCCTGTGGTGCTTGCAGGAATTAAGCACACAGGAGCGCTTAAGTTTAACCTATTCCCTTGGATTCTTTTGACTTCTAATTTATGAAGTTGGGAAACCTTGCTATTTGGACTTTGGTGAGTGTTCTATACTGAACCATAAAAACATATGTATGTTCTCTTCATTTTAACTATTTCTGTTTACAAATAGGTTAAAATGGAAATTTTAATTGGAATTATTTGCTAAGTATTAACTGAGACATTTTAAGGTTTTTGATAACTATCGATTGTCAGATTGTCCTTCAGAAATCTGTACCAATGTATTGTGCCAACACAAGTGTAACGGAGGGCAGTGAACCCCACGTCCCCAGCATAGGCATTATCATTTTTTTAACTCCTCGCAAATTTAGTAGATATAAAACATTTTAATTATTCATTTTGGCTATTAGAGAGTGAATACTTGTTTTTTGTCCATTTATAAATTTTTTTAAAATCATCCATCTTATGGATTTGTCACAACTTTATATTTTAAAGATACTGATGTTTTTGCCTGTCCTATGTTATAGTTTCTTCACTGATACTTTTTTTTCACTGATATTTTTATTTTAATTTTATGTATGAAGTGTGCTAAGGAAGTACTTGTAGGTAGTAACTCTTTTGTTAGGGTTTTGTCATTGGTGGTAGGCTTAGACAAGAAACAAACTTTCTGATAATGAAAAGAAATTGAAAAAATTACTGCTGTAGCCCCGGTGGTGCAGCAGTTTAGCGCTGCCTACAGCCCAGGGTGTGATCCTGGAGACCTGGGATCGAGTCCCACGTTGGGCTCCGTACATGGAGCCTGCTTCTCCCTCTGCCTGTGTCACTGCCTCTTTCTCTCTCTCTCTCTCTCTCTCTCTGTCGTTCATGAATAAATAAGTAAAATCTTAAAAAAAAAATTACTAAAGCTCTCATTTAGAAATCTTTTCTTAAATATATTTGTTAAATAACTCAAGGGCAACCCTGAATATGTATTTTATAAATTATTGCCCCAAAGATAACCAGGAAAAATTTGATTATATAGGATTTGAGTATGTGGCTTCTGCAGCATGTGGCTTCTGCCATTATCACCTCTAGTTTTGAAGCTGTGTATATTTTAACATATTGTTGTGTTATTTCTACTGCAATGAAGATTTTTGTGATTCACTGTATGAACAGTTTTCTTTTAGTACACAAATTAGGAATAGAAAGTCTTCTAGAAAATTCAAACCATTACTGAAAGACAATTAGCATTCCTGCACAATTAACTGTCCCAAAGGAACTGCTGATTTCATTTTAACTTTATCCTTTCAGATCTTTACTTACACAACATGTGTTTGTTAACATAAGTGACAGATCTTTATTGCATATATGAAATTTCTCATTTTTATTAATAAAATTATATTTGGAAATTTCCCTAAAACTTTTGCATGTTTAATTAAAAATGTGTTGAGGGGTTCCCTTGCATTTTTAACTTGGGCAGAGAGATTGATCTTTTTATAGAATGGAAAGTATTAGAACTGCTTTCAAAACTATAAATTAGGGGATCCCTGGGTGGCTCAGCGGTTTAGCGTCTGCCTTTGGCCCAGGGCGCGATCCTGGAGTCCTGGGATCGAGTCCTGCGTCGGGCTCCCAGCATGGAGCCTGCCTTTCTGCCTTTCTCTCTCTCATAAATAAATAAATCTTTTTAAAAAAAACTATAAATTAATTTAAACTCCCAGTAGTTTATTTTTTTTTAAGATTTTATTTATTCATGACCAACACAGAGAGAGAGGCAGGCTCCATGCAGGGAGCCCGATGTGGGACTCGATCCGGGTCTCCAGGACCATACCCCAGGCTGAAGGCGGCACCAAACCGCCGGGCCATTGGGGCTGCCCAAACTCCCAGTAGTTTAAATTTCACTAATACTGGGCTTCATTATACTTGGAGTTTGAACCTCAAGATTTTTATCCATCATATACTCTAATTGAGGATACTCAAAAAACATTTGTGAAGCCTGCTTTTAATTTAATCCCCAGTGCAGTTTTTTTCTGCTTTCCTGTGACCGTGGGATGGATGTGAAGGCAGGCAACACTAGCAAGAACAAAACTGAGATAGCAGTTCTTCTCCCAGCTCAGTTCTCTCCTGGGATTTTTCAGCTTTTTGTTCACATATTGTGAAGTTTTTACAGAATCAGAAAGATGACTTTTTTAAGACTTACTCATTATGGCTGTTAGGAACCCAAAAAGGGCCATAAAAAAAAACACCTCAAAACAATTGAATTTTGCATTTTTTAGGCCTGTAACAAAATATTTATGTAGATGGCTCCCCAAAATACCATACAAAACCTGAAAAAGACATTTTAAGAAAATAACAGACCAATATCCCTCATGAACATAGGAATAAAAGTCCTTCAAATATTGGCAAACTGAACCTAGTAGTATATAAAAAGGATGATAATTCAGCTTGACCAAATAGGTTTTATTCCAAGAGGGCAAGGTTTATCTCAGCTTTCATTCACTTATGAACAGAGTAAAAGAGGAAAGCCATATGATCATCTCAATGATTATAGGAAATGCATTGGACAAAATTCAACATCCTCTCATAATACAAACCCTGGAAGTAAAAAACTCCTCAGTCTGATAAAGGGCATCTGCAAAAGAACATCTGTGCCTAACATCATATTTCATGGTGAAATACTAAACCAAGGATGTCTGCTCTCACCATTTCTGTTCAACATTGCCCCATAGGTCACAGTCAAGAAGAAAGCATAAACATTGATACACAAGAGTTTAGAACAGTCATTCACAAATGATATGACCGTTTCCATAGAAAACCTTATGCATGGTTCCAATCCAGGGCATGGATTGGAAACAAATTAACAAATTTTAGAAACCATAGCATTCCAGTAGCAGCAAAAAACATCAAATACTTAGGAATAAATTTATAGAAAGATATGCAAGACATCTTCTTGGCACTAAAGGGCAACACATTGCTGAGACAATGTTTTTAAAACTTGAGAGACCTAGGGCAGCCCTGGTGGCGCGGCGGATTAGCGCCACCTGCAGCCTCGGGTGTGATCCTGGAGACCCCGGATCAAGTCCCATGTCAGGCTTCCTGTAGGAGTCCTGCTTCTCCCTCTGCCTGTGTCTCTGCCTCTCTCTCTCTGTGTCTCTCATGAATAAGTAAATAAAATATTTAAAAGATAATAATAAATGTAAAACCCACACAAAAAAAGCATGTATGAGGGCAGCCTGGATGGCTCAGCGATTTAGTGCCACCTTTGGCCCAGGGTGTGATCCTGGAGACCTGGGTTCGAGTCCCACGTCAAGCTCCCTGCATGGTGCCTGCTTCTCCCTCTGCTTGTGTCTCTGCCTCTCTCTGTCTCTGTCTCTCATGAATAAATATTTTTAAAAAAACATGTATGAAAAAAGTATCTTTGATCTTTGAGTAGGCAAAGATTTCTTGGGTTGGACACAGCACAAGAAAAAAAAAGGACAATCTGAACATCAAAATTAAAAATTTAGGGGTGCTTGGGTAGCTCAGTTATGTGTTTGCCTTCGGTTCACGTCATGATCCTGGGGTCCTGGGATTGAGCCCTGTGTCAGGGAGTCTGCTTCTCCCTCTCCCTCTGCTCCTCCCCTGCTTGTGCTTTCTCTCAAATAAATAAAATCTTAAGAAAGTATGAATACATACCTTATGATTCAATGTATAACAAATATAAGAAGAGACGTAATTAAAATGGAGGAATGAAAATAGAATTTTCTGGTAGTGATGGAAATGCTCTAACTTGATTGCATGATGGGTACCAGAGTATATTCAGTTTTTAACTCACTGAATGAAAAACCTAAGATCTATGTATTTTACTGATAGTTATAGTGATACCAATTTTTTAAAATATAGGTCAGACAAGTAAGTGTCTGAAATAGTGAATGATCTCAGTTATCAATGAGTACCACTGAAGACCTTACTAATTGCTCTTCATGATACTTTCAAAGGTCATTAGTGGATGTTAACTGAGGAAAACAGGGATATCAGAAGTTTTGTTTTTAACAATCATACTCCATTAGACAAGTGGGTTTTAAGCCGTTTTCTACCCAAACAAACCTAACCTAACAAATTCCCATCAAGAATTAGTACCCTAGAACCACTGTCCTGAAGGATTTCATGTTAGGGATTCAGCGTGATCTAACCAGAAACGCCCCAGAAAGATTCCATAAGAGAATCAAAGACTATTTATGTTGACAATATTCTCTTAAATAGACAAGTCTCATGGAGTTAGTCTAGAGCAATGTGAATTAATGTCAATGAAGATTTTAAAGGCTTTTTATTTTTTTTATTGATTTATGATAGTCACACACACAGAGAGAGAGAGAGAGAGAGAGAGGCAGAGACATAGGCAGAGGGAGCAAGCTCCATGCACCGGGAGCCCGACGTGGGATTCGATCCCGGGTCTCCAGGATCGTGCCCTGGGCCAAAGGCAAGCGCCGAACTGCTGCGCCACCCAGGGATCCCCGATTTTACAGGCTTTTTATTAAATGTCCAAAGAGGATTAAGGTTGACTATTCAATTCAGTATTTTCCTATAGATGGTATTGAGACAGAATTAAGTAACTACAGACCCACAGTTCCCAAATTGAGCTGAGATGCCCCGGGCCCTGTTGTAACTCAGAGGACACTACAGGAGATTTTTAATCTTCAAGGAGGCAGTACTTGACACCAGTCACAAACCACTGGAGCTTCCTGCTCAAGGTTGTTCGGAGTCAACATTAGATCATGTTACATTACTTTAGAAGACAGTATGTGTTTGTATAGCTGACTTACCAGAGGTTGTTCTTGTTAAAAGCAAATGGAAACCAGCCTTGAAAATTCTCTGAGCCGGCAAAACCGGTTTCATCTTACAAGCGAAAATTAATTTTGCTTATTTTGCAAAAGTGCCATGACCTGGGCCATTTTTTGTTTACACCTCTGGAAATAAGCCAAGCTTAAACTGTTTCCCAAGGTTGATACGAGATCACCACTGACCAATTCACCATCATTTTTTTTTTATTTATTTATGATAGTCACAAAGAGAGAGAGAGAGAGAGAGAGGCAGAGACACAGGCAGAGGGAGAAGCAGGCTCCATGCACCGGGAGTCCGACGTGGGATTCGATCCCGGGTCGCCAGGATCGCGCCCCGGGCCAAAGGCAGGCACTAAACCGCTGCGCCACCCAGGGATCCCCCAATTCATTATCATTTAAGAAGATTCTAATGTAACCAATGACTGTGAAGAATAAAGTCACTGCTTTATATATAGAAACTTTTTATAACAACATGTAACTGATGGGGCCTGGCTGCTCAGTTGAAGAGTGTGTGATTCTTGATCTTGGGATCGTGAGTTCGAGTCCCACATTGGCCGTACACATTACTGAAACTTTAAAAATAACAGCACACACCTGAGCTTCATTCCATGTCTTGGCTTAAGTGCTCCCAGTTCACAAACTGTATTTACCTACTTGGAGTCCTCCCCACTCTTAGCTTACCAGAAAAGCCAGGTCAGAACACATGGAAGTTGCATATTCCAGCTGTGTTTGAGCAGAGAGTACAGCAGGCAGAACTGATCATTCTCAGAGCAAAGCCAGTGACATCATTCAACCAGAGAACTTGGGGTGTAAGTTGGCTTGAATCAAGACCACAGCCTACTTGTCCAAACTGAAAACTAATTCCCCTGCTCCACCCAGCAGAGCAAAGCCAGTGGCATCATTCAACCAGAGAACTTGGGGTGTAAGTTGGCTTGAATCAAGACCACAGCCTACTTGTCCAAACTGAAAACTAATTCCCCTGCTCCACCCAGGCAGAGAAGCTAATTTAAAACACCACTGAGTGTGGCTCCTGGCCCCTCCTGACCAGGAAGCCTGACTAGAAACACTTGAGAGGACGCTTAGAGCAGGTGTTCCTGCTTTGTCTGGGCAGGGAGCTAGATCATAGGCCCTATCACTGCTGAGTAGCTTCTGGCCCCATCTTAGTAGATGAACTAACCAGGAACACCTGGGAGGCTGCTTGGAGCTAGAGCTCCTCCACCCTGCAGGGAAGCGGTTAAGAGCCCTTCCCACTGCTGAATGTAGCTCCTGAATCCCGCCTCACCAGGTCTGGACATCCAGATCCATGAAGACCAAAAGACCCCAACCAAATAGGTTCAATCTGAATAAAGCTACATTGAGACACATTATAAACTGTCAAGTCAAAAGCCATATATGACAAGTCAACATCTAACATATTCAATGGTAAAAGGTTGAAGCTTTCCCTCTAAGATTAGGAACAAGACAAGTGTGCCCACTCTCACAACTCCTATTTAACATAGTACTGGAAGTCCTAGCCAGAGCAATCAGGTAAGAAAAAGAAATAAAGGCATCAGGATTGGGAAAGAAGAAGCAAAATTGACTTTATTTGCAAATGACATGACTTTATATGTATAAAATCCTAAAGTCTCCCCCCAAAACCTGTTAAATCTAACCAATGAATTCAGTGAAGTTGCAGGAAACAAAATTAACATATAAAAATCAGTAGTGTTTCTACAGAGTAAAAATGATTATCTGAAAATAAATGAAGAAAACAATCCCATTTACAGTAGCATAAAAAAACAATAAAAATGTTTAATAAATTTAACCAGAACATGAAAACTCTCTACATTGACAACTATAAGACATTGATGAAAGAAATCAAAGAAGACACAAATAAATGGAACTGGATCTCACATTCATGGATTGGAGAAATTAATATTGCTAAAATGCCCATACTCCCCAAAACCATCAAGAGATGACATGCAATTGCCATCAAGATTCCAATGGCATTTTTTAGAGGAAAAAAAATCCTAAATTTACATGGACAACAAAAGACACCAAAAAAACAATGCAATCTTGAGAAAGGAGAACAAAATGGGAGGCATCAGACTTCCCAAGCTATATTTTAAAACCAGGGCAATCAAAACAGCATGGTCCTGGCATAAAAACAGACACACAGGGCAGCCCGGGTGGCTCAGCAGTTTAGCGCCACCTTCAGCCCAGGGCGTGATCCTGGAGACCCGGGATTGAGTCCCGCATTGGGCTCCCTGTATGGAGCCTGCTTCTCCCTCTGCCTGTGTCTCTGCCTCTCTCTCTCTCTGTGTCTCTCATGAATAAATAAAACCTAAAAAAAAAAAAAAAAAAAAAAGGCAAAATCCCTAAACATTTTTTCACAAAGCAAAAATAACAATGGCCAGTAGGTACAGGAAAACGATTATTAGTCAAAATCACTAATCATTAGGGAAATGCAAATCAAAACAATGAGACACTACCTAAGAGCTGTCAGAATGGCATCATCAAAAGAACATGGAAAAACAAATGTCCATGAGGATGTGGAGAAAAGGGAACCCTGGTGCGCTGTTGGTAGGCTTTTAACTTAGTACAGCCCCTGTGAAAAACATTATGGAGTTTCCTCAAAAAATTAAAAATAGAACTACCATAAAATCCAGCATTTACACTTCTGGGCATACATCTGAATGAAACAAAAACCACTGCCAAAGAATTACTTGCACCCCCCACATTCACAGAAGCATTATTTACAATTGCCAAGACATGGAAAACAACCTAAGTGTCCACTGGCAGATGAATGGATAAAGAAATTGTGTTATGTGTGTACACACACACACACACACACACACACAGAATATTACTCACCACAGAAAAGGAATTCCTGCCTTTTGTGACAATATAGATGGACTTTGAGAGTATTATGCTAAGTGAAAAAAATCAGAGAAAGACAAATACTGTATTCACTTAAAAGTGGAAGTAAAACAAATACTCATAAGGAGATCAGATTCATAGTTACCAAAGGCAGGGGGTAGGGAGGGATGGGCAAATCTGAGGAACGTGGTCAAATGTACAAGCTTCCAGTTACATGATTAATGAGTACTGGGGATGTAATAACGTACAACACAATGGCTATAAACACTGAAGTAGGGCATATTTGCAGGTAAGAGAGAAAATGCTGCTAAAACTTATCACAAGGAAAAACCCATTTTTCCCTATTTTTTTGGTATATGTATGAAAGGATTAAATTTATTGTGGTAATTATATGAATATATATTCACAATATATGAAAGTCCTACTATGCTGTATACCTTAAACTTACATAGTGCTGGATGTCAACTACACTTCAACAAAACTGGAAAAAAACACAATGATAGGAAAGCTTTGTGGCATCTTTACTTGCCCTTTTGGTGTGGCAGCAGTCTTGAAAACGGCACCTATACTCAGTGCTAGACCTTGGTCCCTATTTCTGGAGGGAAGAGAACAGACCTCACTCACAAACTATGGTTTATCTCTATTTTAGCCTCTCTTTTGGTATCTGAGGACTGAACCAAAGCAGTCATCTGTCTTCCCTAACTTGAAATTCAGTCCAGAAAAGCAGCAGGCATTGCTCAAAATGGGCATAAGACAAACCAACAATCCACAAAGGCCTAGGTGCAAAGATAACAATTACAGTTTTACCACCTCAGGTCTAGGAGAAAAAGCTGGGGAAAAGAGAGTTACTTTGGGAAATTAGAATATTCAAAAGCATATACAGGGAAATACAGAAAGCCACACAGATGTTGAGGGCAAGAAGCATGCTCAGAAAAGACCTGAGAAGATCTTAAGCTTTTCAAGTCAGACTGCTGGACTTAGTGCAAGCCTGGATACGTGTTGAGGGAGTAACTCAGAAAAAGAGACAACTGGCAAAGACTAGGAGAGGCATTTGTTCTAGT